TCCTGAGACTCTCTCCCTGGCAGCCCCACATCTGCCTTCGCTCCCGTAGCCTTCCACGCTCCTGCAGCTCCGCTGCAGGTTCTTGGTGCAGCCCTCCGGCTGCCCCCACAGCAGCTCCATCGCTGCTCCCTGTTCCTCCGTGCGTGGCGATCTCGCCACCTCCCAACGTCAGCCCTTCGTGGCCTCTATGGCTATCTCGCCATTTCCTACCTCAGCCCTTCGTGGCCTCTGTGGCTATCTCGCCACTTCCTACCTCAGCCCTTCGTGGCCTCTGTGGCTATCTCGCCATCTCCAACCTCAATCCTCCACTCTCTCTTCCACCCCGCTGGCTGGCGCCGTCATGAGCCCCTCAGCCACCAGGCTGAGGCACGGCGACCACCCAACGTGTTCACCACCCTTCACTCCCCCGACTGCCCCAGATAGCTTCCTGTCTCCCCGCTATAACTTCTCCCCCACGTCACCCTGACTCCTCCCTCTCGGATCGTCATATCCGCCCCGCCCATTTACGCCCGCATTACACTACCCTCCCCCGTAGAGAAAATCCCAGCCGTCCTCGGCTGAAACAGAACAAAATAATGCGGGCGAAGGCATCACAATCAGGAGTCCCCCAGACACAACGGAGATTATAACAACAACAACACAAGCAACGAAAGGGGAGGTATCAGGAACTGGAACAGAACACCGGCCTGTCCTCCGCGCAACATCAACAAGAATAAGAATGGCACAATGAACAAAAACGGCAACTGACACGCAAGAACGGCCAACGCGCACAACCCAGAAATGTGATGTTTTAGTGCGTGTCCATGTTGCTGTTCCATCCGCTCGGCTCAAGTCCAACGTCAAAGAGCAAGTGGTAGAGCAGAATGACGAACGGCGCTCAATTGCTCCTTCAAGTCCTCATCCAGCTAGCACACCAGGTAACACCCAGTGCGACGGGAGCTGAAGAATCTGTGACGAGAAGGAGAATCCAATCCCCTGAGGCACAGCACAACAACGCACATCCGCATGTCGTACACGACAGCCACCCGGCCTCAGGGTAGTGGAGATGATGTAAATCCAGCCCGCTTAAAAAAACTCCCCATAAATACCCAAAATAACGCAATGGATGCCCCAGTATTTACATTTTAACAACAATATTATTTACACGTAACAACAACAACAACAAAATTTCCTGCTCTTGCCCACCAGCAGTCCTCCCTTGAGGACCAGCACAGACATCGCACGTACACAGCATGTACCCACGGTCACTCTCAGCAACCCAACAAAACACCTAATCGCACACCCTCGCGTGGAGAGAGCCACGCTCCCCAGCGGTAACGTTTAACTCGCCGTAACCCTCACCGTGGTCGTCAACCCACAGCAACATCCATTTACCATACTCTCGGCTAGTGCCATTTCGGGGAAGATCAGCACTCGGCCATACTCCTCCCTTACTATCCCATCAGAGATGGACACACACCAGCCTCGTATAGTCCGATGCTTTATAGCCCAGGGAAGGTTCATCCCCCAGCAATGCCAGACCCCATGTACTCCCCCCACGGGGCAATGTTCTCTTATAGAGACAATAACACCCTAACCCAGATCCCGTGAGCCCCCGGCACACCAGGTTCAGTCTGCCACCGCACAACTGAACCATGACTCCCCGAGCCATATGAGCACATGGCCCATTAGTTTAAGACATACCATGGAGGTTTCGCCTCCGGGCTGTCAGGTCAGCCATCAGCCATAGGCCGATGTGACCACAACTCGTGCATCACCCAATCAACAATGGCAGGCATAACAGATGGAATATTTGCCCCACCGCGGTTTTTCCCGCGCGCTCAAAATGGCGGCCCCTTTCGCCCAGCGCGTTCGCGCAATCTCTCGCGCGCACTCAAAATGGCGGCCCTTTCCGCAAAGCGCATCGTCGCCATACCCCGCGTGCGCGCAAAATGGCGGCCCAACGTGCGAACACGTGGCCAGTTTTCTCCATTCGTGCACCCCAGCTTCCCTTAGCTGGGGGTCACAAGACGCATCCCCCGTCACGTTATAACAACCCCACCAACGATAGACGCACAGCCCCAGCTTGCTGTGCACAGCTGTCATATCGTGGAATTTTTAACCAATATTTTACCAACCACATTGGTTACACAACCCAACTCGCCAAGCAACTCGTAGTTGCATGCGATCAACCGAATACGCGACGCACTTGGCGCCAATTTACGATCCCATTAGCATTAACATCTAAGCCACCCACAACGGCGTCATCGCGCACCCTCATTCTCAAAAAGCTCAATTACCCCTATAATATACACGCAATCTCGTGTGCACAACAACCATACAACCAAATATTTGGGTCCCCCTCGAATTTGTTACCAATTTCCCACAGGTACGCGCAATATAATAACAATCTCAATTCCAATAGTCAACCACTGCATCGCACCCCATAACCATACAGAACGGTATAACAGCACATGCAATCAGCATATCGCGATCACACGCGTACATTTAAGCACAATAGCAAGCAGATCTGCAGGCAACCAACACACCATTAATCCTGTCGTAACTTTGCAGCAACAACACAATTATTCTCTCTCTTGCAACAATCGCATCGCACACAGCACTTCGCAGCACAATACACCAAAAAAAAGATATTTTTTTTTTCCAATTAAGCCCATCGCACAAGGTAACCCACAAATAATACAGCGCAAGATACCCGACGCTCCCAAGTTAATAATTAACTTCACCATCAAGATAACAACTCCACGCAGCAGCGCACACACACAATTTGACACTCAGCAAATACAGCAGACTCTCCGTCCATTCTCAACACACGCACACACTTATATTGACACCAAGCAACAAGCAGATAGCGCGTTCATCGTTATTACACACACATACACACAGTCCGAACCGCGCTCCGCACAATCGAGTCATAAGAGAAAACCAAAATAGCCCCCCGGCCCTCGAAAGATGAGTGAGGTGTGTGTTAAGGCCGGGTGCGTATCGTTATGACTCGCCCGGGCTGCAGCAAGAAGAGGACGGCAGGGTGGCAACTTGAGACGCCTCGCAGAACTCGTTCGGCGACTTGACGGCTCCGTTGTCACGCACCCGAGCCAGGACGGGAAGCTCCCGCCCCAGCAGCTGCAGCATCGGCGTCTTCTCCTCGCAGCACCCCCTCGAAAACCAGCAGCTCACAGCAGGCTGCTCACCCCGCGGCACCTCCAGATGGCAGCGCAAGGCTGCCTCTCCGCCGCGATGTTGAAGATGGCGGCGTCCTCCCGCCGCGGTGAAGACAAGATGGCGGCTTCCCGCCGTTTCTCCCCTGCCACGCCCAAGATGGCGTCTTCGTGCCACGTGGCAATGGCGCTGGCAGCGCAGGAAAGGCAGAGGCCTGCGGATCACCACCGGGCCTCCCCGACGTCGTCCTCGGCGTGGTGAACTCACACAGTTGCGCCAGCACGATTTTAAAGGTCCCCATCTGCGCCGCCATCTGTCTCCATCGTAAGTTGGCGTCCTCCGGCACAGACAGGTCCACCGACGCGGCGACACCTTGCTCACCCGGACCCGTACTCGTTCCAGCACGGATCTCCTCTTCCATCGCAGGCAGGTCCACCGTCTGAGGAAGGTCGTCGTCGTCGGATGATGTAGCAGGAATATATTTTTTTTTTTCTTCTTTCTCTCAGTTGTTTTGAGATGCCGTTTCACTTCTGACTCCAGTGTAATAAAAGGACTCAGACACTTCTTGCTGACTCCGTGTCCTTTATTTGGGGTTCACGTTCTCCTTCCCACACGGCACTCCTCCTGAGACTCTCTCCCTGGCAGCCCCACATCTGCCTTCGCTCCCGTAGCCTTCCACGCTCCTGCAGCTCCGCTGCAGGCTCTTGGTGCAGCCCTCCGGCTGCCCCCACAGCAGCTCCATCGCTGCTCCCTGTTCCTCCGTGCGTGGCGATCTCGCCACCTCCCAACGTCAGCCCTTCGTGGCCTCTATGGCTATCTCACCATTTCCTACCTCAGCCCTTCGTGGCCTCTGTGGCTATCTCGCCACTTCCTACCTCAGCCCTTCGTGGCCTCTGTGGCTATCTCGCCATCTCCAACCTCAATCCTCCACTCTCTCTTCCACCCCGCTGGCTGGCGCCGTCATGAGCCCCTCAGCCACCAGGCTGAGGCACGGCGACCACCCAACGTGTTCACCACCCTTCACTCCCCCGACTGCCCCAGATAGCTTCCTGTCTCCCCGCTATAACTTCTCCCCCACGTCACCCTGACTCCTCCCTCTCGGATCGTCATATCCGCCCCGCCCATTTACGCCCGCATTACACAAAGATAACATCCACAACTGGAAAATTCACACTTAGCTGAAAAAAAAAACCAGTACAATTATGTAATGTAAAATACCAAGGCAGTATAATAATCGAATACAGTAAACAGGTTCCCAACCTTTTTGGCACCAGGGACCGGTTTCGTAGAAGACAATTTTGTCACGGACGGGGGGGTCATCATTGGGTCTTTCCCCCTTTTCAAAGAAGCTCTCCAGCAACGTTCGTTTTTTTACTCATTTTGGCTAGGGGTTAGAGCTTGTGGGCTCACCAAAACTGTGACTAAGACAAGTGCCAGAGTATGGGAAAGAGGCGCGGAAGGAAGTGGTCAATAAAATAATTGGGGTGGGCCACGCGCCGACTCACCGCTGTCACCTGCTGCTGATCGGCCCTGGTCCTAACAGGCCACGGACCGGTAGCTGTCCGCGGCCCGGGGGTTGGGGACCCCTGCTGTACACAATATAACTGCGACATACACCACCAACGGGTGTTAGCCCTCTCTGCTTTCATTCGTGCTTTAAACGGCGTCTAGAGTTTCATTCACGAGTACATTTTACGGGTTCCATACACATCTGCTGGAAAAAGTTGTACAGGACCCCAAAAAATATTACTTCCATGCAGTAACTTCAGACGAATATAGTCGGGCAATACGCGTCCCGTTAAAAAGAGAACAACGGACAGCCGAAACGAATGACCGCTTACCTCGCCGGCTAACAACGACGTCTTGAGTGAGGAACTATTCGGCATGAGCTGCTTAAATTGCACCCCCGCCTCCTCTCGTCACACAGCAAGTGTGACGAGGGCTAGTTTTTTCCCTTCCTGACCGCGTGTGCCCTCCGTGCAAAGAAGGGCGGGCAGGAGAGGGGTGGAAAGCCAGTCATCCACGTGGTTGCTACCATCGTAAAACCAACCTGCAGCGCAGGTGTGGCTATGACACAGCCAAGGAAAAAATTGGTAAGGGGACACCGCTGTGGTGGTGTTGTTGTACAGTGTCCTTGAATTATACGCACATTTCCCAAATCACACATCATTGCTGAGAGAGCATTACTGCGGTTGATAAGGACTTCTGGGAATTGCATAATCATTTCTGCAGCATTTGTTAAATTCAAACATAACTCCGGGACCGGTTTCGACACGCAATGTCTCATCCGGAGTCATTCTTGCATGACCGTTAACATATACGCCTTTTAATGCTGATACATTCATGGATACAGTACTCTACAATGGCTGTATCCGATTGCTCAGGGCGTTGAGCAGTCGTGGGGAATCGTGTAACTCACTCCTGTGTACTCATTGATGCATTGTGCACAAACGCACGTGCACGGATAGGCACGGTTGATAACGTGAACGCCTTCATGGCTAACTGGATGGGAGCCCGTGAATATTGAATGTCTTCTCTGCTGCAGAGGAGCAATGGACACGGCGCCTTTTTATATTGTGGAAATTAAATGAGAGATTCAAACTTATACATTGTCCTAGAAGTAATAAGTTAATCGTGTTTATGCGTCTAGTCCTATGTCAATCCAAGACAAGTCTCCCCACACCTTTCAAAATGCAGTGGTACTTCACCATACTGGCTGAAGAATGGACCAGAACTGGTTTAGATGATAAGTCACGGCCGGAAATCTATTTAGGGAACTAGGTTCATAGTGCGGTGCGCTAACCACTATGCCACTATTTCCCCTCAAACTACAGTACCTATAATACAGTGTTGGGAGTCAACCATGGAGATGTAAATTTAAATATACCTGGCCATAACCTGGGCAATTCTCATTTATGTTAGGGAAAGAGAATGGCCGTTTTTGTAATGAAAATCCATTTACAAAAACTGGTATGACATTACATTTTACGTAATTACGAATATAACAGGCAGTTATATGTTTTTTTTTATTTTGCAACATTTCAATTGTTGCTCAAACGTTAATTTATTTAGCATACCTATTGCGAGGGTCGCCGAAGGACGCCATGAATAAATAAGCCCGTGTTGCCGGCTGGGTAGTTGTGAGTGGAGGGGCATGGCAATGACCCGGGCGGGTGGGGACTCAACGGGGGAGATGGGCACGGGGAAAGCAACTGGGAAAGTGAAGCACGGGTTAAGGGGGGTGCGTCAGGAGGAGGGAGGCAGGATTGGTAAGGAGCAGGAGAACTTGGACAACCTTCGAGAGATTCGAGAAGGAACAGCGGGGAAGGATGACGACAGGGGGAGGCCTGGTGTGAGGACAGGGTGTCTTGGCCCTGTGTGAGGAAAACATTCCCTGACCCGAAGGTCACCTTGTGTGAACTCCCATAATTATAATTTAGATTTTTACTGTGGCGCATTTCATCCGTAGATTCCCAATGCACCACTGTGTTTGGAAAACAAAAAAAAATAAACAGGGTAAGCGGCCATAACTAGGGGGTGAAGGCCAGTTTAAAGAGGTGAGTTTTTAAAGAGAGACTAGAACGATTCTGATTGTCTTATGACCAAAGGCAAAGCGTTCAAAGGTCTGGGAACTTCACTGGCAAAAGCCCGATCACCCCAGGAAATGAGCCTTGACCTCGAAGTACAGTGCACTCCAAAGGAAGGCGATGAAAATATTCCAGGGACCGCATTATAGTGTACAAATTAGCACAATGCTCCTGGAAGTCATTTTAAAAATAAATTATTAAATGGCCATACTGCTATACCATGTAGTTCAGAAGCAATGATATTAACAAAACTAAAGAAAAAAAGAGTGCTTGGAATTGCATTGAGATTCAGGAGCACTCGGATTAGAGAGCATACGTAGGTTAATGACATCACTTGGGCAGAACGTATCGCTAGAATTGATGATGGCCGATGGTCAACAATAATAATGAAGTGGCAGCCAAGGAACGGACTGTGACCAAGAGGGCATCCACCGTGGAGATAGAGTGATGCAATCCGTTTTCAGATATTAGGGGTGGCTTGGGGAGGTTTAAATACAGCAGCCGAATGGACATGGCTGCTGCTGATGAAGACAATGTATAGCAATGCAACAGGGAACACCTCGGTGTGTGTTGCTTGGATATTATGGAATTAAAATTACTGGGGATTGCAAATACACTATCATGATACTTTACTCAGAATAACCTGAGATGATACTGGACAATTTCTAGGGCACTCCGAATTAAATAAGCACCTGGTAGTACAGAACTCATGAGATTTATTGCATTACAATCGAGACCTCTCAAGCCAAGGGAGGAGTTTAGCCAATGGGTAGCGTGAGATTGACTAATGGTGGTGTGAGAACAGAAGTGGAGAAAGCTGGAGGAGAGCCGCTATGTTCACTGTATACCAAACCTCTCACGTTGGGAGAGTGATGCGCACAATGCTCGAAGTCTCACGCAGAACTCTTGAGACAAAAGCTGATGTGGACAATTCTTAAGGTAAAGGTGTTAGTGTTGCTGTTGCCAGCAGAAGGTCCTTCACTCGAGAGCCTGTCAAGTGGGTTTGTTTGGCCAACTCTTCCACACTGGGCCAAACATTGCTGAAGACGTGGGAGTACCCACACTTTCCCGTCGCACGTGGCCTGCCGATCAACTGTAGTGTACTCATGCATATTGATCAGTGGACAGAGGCAATGTGCCCATTGTTTCAACTGCCATATCAGAAGATTGAATCAAACGGACGACCTCAGGAATGCAAGTCCAATAAGCTAACCATAACACCATGGCAGCATCTCCAATACTTTAAGTAATGTATGTATATTTATAACTGGATAATTATCCCTCGACGCTATGGTGTGCATCTATATGTAGTGGTATAGCGCTGGCTGCTGGCGGTAAAGGCTAACTGCGGTGTACGGCAGTACTCGCGTCAGCAGGTCACGATATATACCAGAGGGGGACATCTCGGGGACAGGTCACAGAAGGGGCCCATCGGGAAGCCCTAGGCGCCGTTAGTCAGACAGCCTACCAACTGCTCTAAGTAGTGCCACCGACAATAGATGGTCTTAATTATAATAGTGTGCACCCACATAGGGTGTATATTATCCCGATGGTGCTTGTTAAATAAAAGTGCCTCCAGTTATTACGGTCTCCGATCTGCATCACTTCATATATTCAGCTAATAATTTTGAATACATTGAATTCATAACAGGTGAAGTTGTAATTCTACAACGTTACCCTTGTTTTCCTGTACAACGTATGCAGAAAACGGCACGTTGTAAAGATAGGATAAACCTGTTTTGTGTAATGCCATGGTGTGTCACAGGTGACTGCATACATAATTTATCGTTCTGCCTCACCACTCCCTTGTAGAGAAGATGTTATCAAACGAATGTAGGGAAGATATTTATCTACTATTAAGAGTCCCGAACCCGTGGTGAACATTCCTTCTACCTATGGTGGAGGCCAGACAAAGATTCCCCGTTTACCCTTAACAGACTGGAGGAGCAAGTGCTGTTAGAAAGTAGCACGTATGAAGGCCGGCACGGCACATGAGGGGGTGGGTGGCCAGCACCACGCCCGACAGCCTTTGTCTCCCTAGTGGCGATGTAGACACGGCACACCAGGTATTAATTTGAGGCCGAGTTGACCTAGGGGAGGCCCAGGTCCGGTTCAGATGATCGTCACTGGTGTTGGCCATGAGCCTTCAGGTTGGTAGTGCACTAACTGCTCCACACTTCAACCAGACCACTCGAAAGAATACCCTGTTTGACTCTCTTCAAAGTGGCAAACAGTATGTAGCCAACCGCGCTAATCGAAGGTGTGGGGGAAAGGACAAACTAAACAAAAACAGTTCTAAAGAAGTGAGTTTTCAATCTAGATTTACTTAGTCAATCCCTCACTGGAATTGAAACTTATTTAAGAAATAAGTGTTGCCAGCCAAACAGCCTGCACCCAATACAATCAAGAGTAATGACACCATTGTTGTTCGAGATACGATCCAGGCACTGGAAATAAAAACATACCAACGCGATCCTGTTTTTTTTTTAACAGACAACATTTTCTCACGTCCATTTCTATTTTTATATGAAAAGAATGCAGTACAAGAGTAGGTGTGGTTAATGCACGTACAATCGGATTGCGCAATTGATGTCCAAAACAAAGAGCTGCTGTGATTTGCTCATGCTACTCAAACACTACAGGGGCTGTCTAACACCATCCTACAGCGCCTGGTAAAAAACACAGGGGTTCGGCCAAGCACTTGGTGGATGATGGGTGTGCAGGGTCTCGGACAGGGAGATCAGTCGGAGACGGCCAGATCGCAAAAGACCACGCGGCAGGTGGAGAGAAATCATTGCCAAAGTGTCACTGGCGCTGTGGTGCAACACAAAGCGTGGAGGCAACGATGCGTGCATGAGCCATAAATGGAGCCAGTGGAAAACAATGGCACACAATAAACAACAAATGGGCATCATCAATTCCGTAATTGCCGCAGGCGAATAAGGTTATAAACGATTCAAATCCAATCAAAATGATTCCATAGTACTGTAATAGATTTCACATGAATCTAAATAGCGGCGCATCTTTGCTTTGATTACGTATAAGAGCACGGGATTCTGCGGTACAGTATGTGCTTGAACATGGGTCATATTGGCAAGTAAATGTGCAGGGTAAATATTGGCAAGTAAATGTGCAGGGTAACTACCAGAGGTGTGGACTCGAGTCATGTGACTTGGACTCGAGTCAGACTCGAGTCATGAATTTGATGACTTCAGACTCGACTTGGACTTGCATAACAATGACTTTGTCCCACCTCTGAGGTGTGGACTCGAGTCATGTGACTTGGACTCGAGTCAGACTCGAGTCATGAATTTGATGACTTCAGACTCGACTTGGACTTGCATAACAATGACTTTGTCCCACCTCTGGTAACTACTATTCATTTGAGCACAAACCTACTGACGTTCATGTGGTTTGTTCTGCCCCACACCAGATATGGGGGTGTTTATACAATAACTTCTTGATATGATGGTGCCGAGTTTGGTCACATAACCAGGAAGTTCCGGGTTAAGGGTCTCTAAGCCACGAGGCCAGAAGGGGGTGTCAGCCATTACAGTACAAAATGGAGGCACAATTAGCGTCTCAGTGGAGACGGGTGCATCTGTTCATTGCGGGACTTTAAGAAGAATTGTCTGTAAGTTCGTTTATGTTCTTATAATACTGGGAATGCTGTTATGTTGGGATAGCCGTTATAATGCTGTAAATGCCTTTAGAATGCTGTTGAATATGGTGCCTAGTTAACAACGAAGCCTGCCACTTGCATTATTGCGAATGTTATTTGTAGTTGGATAAGTCGAGCCAGACTTATGCGCATGCAACTTTAATGCGTTCTTGAGAGCAAGGAAGAAGAAGTATCTCATCCACAGTTCAGTGTTATATGCAGCACTGTACATTTAGGCTGCAGTATTGTGATTACATAAAGTTACCTTATTTAACACAGTCGCTTATTCTCTTGTTGTATAGCTAGTCAGTACCATTTACCTGATATACTGAGAAGTGTTAAATCACTATGAGACCTTGACCAGTGGCAAAATATAGTAATAGGTTTTTACCCTTTCAACTGGTACAAAAACTGACACCTTTATACAAGGCATCATGTTTGCAATAACCACAACACAAGCAGTCAAAATGCAAACAAAAAGAAACAACTCTAATGATGATGATATGCATTGTCCTTGAAGTTGATTGGTCCACACCCGAGATGATGCCTTGTATAAAAGGTGTCAGTTTTTGTACCAGTTGAAAGGGTAAAAACCTATTACTATATTTTGCCACTGGTAAAGGTCTCAGTGTAAATGCCTACCCCGAGCTCTCAATACTCTGATAGTGCGCTATCTTTGAGTTGTACGCCTTTTGGCGTCATCTGGTCCAACACCAATGGAGACTAGGCTCTAAGAAAAGCTGTCTCGGGTGTGGACCAATCAACTTCAAGGACAGTGCATATCATTATCATCATCAGAGTTGTTTCTTTTTGTTTGCATTTTGAATGCTTGTGTTGTGGTTATTGCAAACATGATGCCTTGTATAAAGGTGTCAGTTTTTGTACCAGTTGAAAGGGTAAAAACCTATTACTATAAGTGTTAAATCGTGAATGCATAATTATTATCTAGATTTATATAGTGCCTTCACCAAGGCGCTTTACAGGATTGATCAAATTGTACGCAAGATGATAATGGTTTGTTATTAAAAGTGGCGGTGTGTAGTTTTAGTGACAGTAGAACAGGCGGGGATGGTTGGGATAGGCCTGGTCGTATCTGAAGGGCGGATAAATATTGAGGCATCGTATTCGGAAGACAAAGGGGGATGGCCAAGGGTGGGGACTGGGCAGTGGAAGAGGGCCTCTGCGAGCGAGTCCCCTGCACCGCAGACGACGTTCACGTCCGTGCAGCACAGCAGCAGATCCCCGGCCGGACCCACGGCGAGGAAGAGCGTGCAGCGCCGACTCGGCTCGCCTTCACGCTCAGCACGCCGACACGGTAAAGACTCCCCCGGTCGCAGGTCCCTCCCATGCCGGGGGCCGCACGAAGCCTCGATGCCCTTGGGTAGCTGTAGCCCAGGCGGATGTGCGGCCCAGCGAAGGAGCCGCCCGACACTGGCGACGGAGCAGCCCAGCGAGCAATTGCCGGCGGCCAGGCCGCCAAGAGGATGCCGGGTGGACATGTGAGTAGGCAGGGGACACAAAGGGGGGGGGGGGGGGGGTTTGCACCTCGAACCTGCCAGCTAGCGTTGTGCTTACACCATCCTGCTTCCAAAGTACATTCACCCATAGCCCAGTGGTGCTGGCTCAGTATTGGAGTGTTGTTGGCTTCTGTAATGCACTGCCATACATATTAATGCAACAGTTCTATGAGAATTGTAGATATTTAGGTCGTGTGGAATATAACCATTGCGGGGAGCGGCAGTGTTGCGGTTGGCACACTACACTACGAACCCAGCCACCCAAGTTCGATTCCCACTCACGGCCAACAGTGATGATTATCTGAATCGGTCCTGGGCCTCCCCTAGGTCGATTTAGCCTCAAATGAGAATTTTTCACTTCTTTTCGCACCGTATATACCCAACCATGCGAATCGGAAATGCAGTGTGTAAACATCACCATTGAGGAGACAAAGGAGGTCGGGCGTGGTGCTGGCCTTCCAACCCCCTTGTGTGCCCTGCCGACCATAGGTGCTCGCTAACAGCATTTGCCCGAACAGTCTGTTAAGGCTATACAGGGGATCTGTCATTGGTGTAACCATAACAGTGGTATACCACGAAGGAGAGTGAACTCGGGTGGGCCAAAGGGATTCTAGATTTGAAGCTTTCGTGACTGCAAGGATTCATACTCTTAGGTTTTTTCGGTAAAGTCACGTAGGAAAAAATAAATATTAAAATATTAGAAATAATCATAGAAATAAAATAATAAATCACGACGTTTCGGAGGCAACACAAGTCTCCGTCATCAGGTGAGACCGTCACAGCTATAAGCCCCTCCCCCTTAACTTGTATTTAAGAGCTTGTCTCTTGGAATTTTGCGTCACTTGATACAGTAAATTTAGCTGTGACGGTCCCACCTGATGACGGAGACTTGTGTTGCCTCCGAAACGTCGTGATTTATTATTTTATTTATATTAGTAGTTCAATTGTTTTATTATTATTTTTTTCTACGTGACTTTACCGAAAAAACCTAAGAGTATGAGCCAAAGGGACATTTGGTGGTGCAGGGCCTGCCCCAGCACACACCTAGCACCTTGCATGGTGGAGAAACAAGAGCAGCACGGCATATAAAAAAACACACCGAGGTCGTATCTCACAAAAGGTTTCAATGTTATGTGATCGACAAACCTGCTCCCCCCCCCCCCATTTGCAGGTGTGGATCCATATCTGGCATCTGGAATTATCATTCAGGTACATTACAGGATTAACATTCATTGCATATTTCCAATGCACATTGTTATAATAATAGGGTTTTCCCCTTTTTTTTCTGGCCACAAAACTGAAACCTTTTTACAAGGATTCATGTCTGCATTAATCACAATACTTGTAGTCAAATGCAAACAAAAAACACACTATGATAATATATACATTGTCCTTGAAACTGATTTGTCCACACCAAGGGACGGCTTTCTTTTGAGCCTCGACCCAATTGGTGCTCGACCAGAGGACGCCAAAAGGCGTACAGCTCAAAGACAATGCACTATCAAAGTAATGAGGGCTCGGGGTGAGGGTAAAAACCCTATTATTATATTTTGGTACTGGCAAAGGAGGTCTAAGAATGTACATTGTTTGTTATTACTTTACATTTTCAATTCAGTTTTACATACACTACCAATATGAATCTAGATTTAAAGTTTTTGTGAATGCAGGAGCTGAGAACTGATGGGGAGAGATTTGTGTTAACTATTATAGTAAAGTCACGTAGGTATAAAATACAAGTGATTTAATTTTATTTTATACCTACGTGACTTTACCGAAAGAACCAAAGAGTATGGATCCCTTCAGTCACGAAAACTTCAAATCTAGATTATTATAGTAAACAATACAAAATGCTGCACAGTAGCAGAAAATTATTACTCTTCATCTTCTAGCATATGACAAGTCGGTGTAAATTATACATCCGGGATTAAGCTTGTGAGCCATGTGATAGCTTTGGGAGTAGCGCTAATACTGTCCAGTCCAACGGAGAGCAGGCCTAAAATGCAGTTGTTTGTGATGCGGTCCATTGTTTGATTCGAGTGGCCACAGTTATTGAACTGTGGGTCATATTAACGTTTTCCACTTGAGGAAGAGGTGTGCGCAGTCACTGTTCTGAAGTGGTTGATGAAGCCACAACAGTTTTCTTGGTAGATCAAAGCCGTGCGGAGCAGTGGTGGTGCCCTCATTGAGGCTATTGTTAGGAACTTCAGTAAAACTCCACAGCATTCGCCAGCGGCCTTCAGTTGATCCCGCTCCGTCCAATATCCAATTGTCTCCCGCAATCCCAGATTGGTTTCCAGGATCTCGGACGAGTTTGTGGAGGGTCGAGCAGCTCTTGGTGTAATGGGAGGACAATGCTTTCTTGGATTTTGTCCCACCTGGCTTGATATCACAGCATCCCTGTGGAAGTTTTCTGGCCCAATGTTGGCCAAAACAGGAAGCCACTCGGTGGGAGTACGTTTCAGTGTGCCCACTATTGTTCTTTACTTGTGAACAACCCAAATGCTGATACTCCTAATAATAAGCCATTCTGTTTGGGTCATAGTCACATTTATACGAATACAGCCAATTTTAAATGGCACAAGTGTGCTGATATTTCTTTCCCTAAATTCACCATGTACAAAATGTCCGAGTGTGATAAAAGAAAAACACGATTGTTTGTCGACATTAGTTCCAACTTGTAACAAGCCAGCTTTCAGACCGTCATTTTTTCTTTCAAACGAACTTGTCAGAACTTCGATCACATCGATGTTCTGAGGCTCCATAAATTTCAACGTGAAGTAATCTCCTGCAACGGGCGTCTTTCCCCAGAAGTAGCCACTTTCAGTGCTGTAGGCTTTCTCAGGTCGGTAGTCTTCGAACACCTTGATGTTTGTGTGAAAGGTGGCGGCAGGGTTATCGGCCACATTTGCGGTACTCTCCTGGAAATCGCCGTCCTTCAATTCATTCCGAGTGCCTTTGAAGGATGAGTAGAGGCCCATGTGCTGAAATAACGCCGGCTTGAAATTTATGGGATTGTTTTGTGTTAGAATAACACGGAAGTGTGTCAGAAGCCAATCGCACGGCATCTCCTGGTAGAACAGGAACAGAAATTGAGCAAGGGTGGGGAGGTCATTACCATGGTAGAGCTTGCCAATGTAGCCCAGTTTGGAGAATTCTAACGTGACCCAATATTTCTTTTGTCGTGAAGCAATGGCCTTCTGAATTGTGGTCAAAAAATTCTTTGCACATTTCAGATCATCTTCCAGCATGAGGTAGTAGTCAGCAAGGTTGGCACAGAAGCCAATTATGAATGAGTAATCAAGGTTCTGCTTGGAGCGGAAGCGCACTCGATCCGGAGGGTCATTGTAGTTGGCCTTGAGGCCCTCAAGGGAGGGGTAGATCTCCTCCGGTGCGTGGATCAATAGAAGTCGCTTGGCTAGCACATGGCTGGGGAACATTTTCGTAATTATACGTGCCGTCATCTCGCACCACGCCATGTTAAAGTCGCACAAGTGCACCACTACTACCATCTGCTGAAGTTCCATTGAGCTTGACTGCTCAAATATGGACCTCAGGGTGTCTATCAAGTATGGCTCATGTTTCCGGTTTACAGAACAAAGGCCAATCGCAAGGAACTCTGAAAGAAAAAAAAGCACAGGCACTTACTCATTGAAAATGTTGCACGTGTGTGTTTGAGGTTGAATTTTAAATACTACTTTGTAGTTTACAACATGTAAAAACAGAATCTCTCTAGTCAAACATGGAGTGGTTCCGCTCTGTTATGCCGGGGACGAATCTCTTAAAAATAGCCACTGTGGACTTCCTCCAAAGTCGTATCCATTTTACCAACCCTGGAGGAAAGATGACCTTTATTTTCTTCCTGTGACTGGGTTTGGAACTCACAGCCTCTGCCTTAAGCAGAGCGATCTGCCACAGTGCAAATAAATGGGTGAAGGGGTCTATTTAGAATGCTAATAACACGATCACTTGGAATCCATCAGCCGACAGCTGCATCTAAATGTTCATAGAATACATTTATTTTTAAATGTAACAGACAATATTTCAATGGCTTGCCTTGTTAAAACAATGCAATTTGGTACCTTGAATTTATGGTCAGAAGTCATCTGCAATGTCAGGGAATAAAGCTATCCAAGTGATCATCCAGTATTCAAACTTCTGTTTTTTTAGTGTATTACAACAAATAACAGAGGTGGGTAGGTGTATTTGTTTAATTGTTAAAATCCATCACAATTTCATGGTGAAATGTAATCGTTACTAGACATTAGAGATGTCACTATACAGCACTTACCCAAAGAGTCCAACCAAGCCACAAAGATAAATTGCCATCAGTAATTGAATGTATTAGCAAATGGGGAAATAAAATGTCAAAACAAAGCAATTACAAATAAAAAAATATATGGAACTCAACTCTTTTCTGTTGTCAAGATGTCCTCTGTGATGTTGCTGAATTGGAGCCTTGTGGTATTAAACATTAGTATTCGAGAAGTGGCTTTGCCCTCGTGAGGATGTGAAGCTTCAGAGATGATGTCCAGCAGTTCTTGCGTAATCACTGGCGAGTTGATGTGTCTCTAAATCACAAACAATGCATATATTCATAGTGAATACAAAACTGGGAATAACAATTCATCCGAACGCTCAACAACAACTGCAAATGCCCGTCTTTGCAGCCAGAAGAATGTTATCACGATGTGCATGGACAGATGGAACCGATGTATCAGTGCTCTAATTAAGCCCAGTAACCAGTAGGGAGGTACTCTACTCAAGCAGAAAGGCAACAAATACTGAATATGCTTCACCATACTGGATTTGCAGGTGGCACCTGTCTCCAATGGTAGTGTTCACACACCCACACCAGGCACTTATTTAATGAAAAGTTGACCTAGTGGAGGGCCTGGACAGATTTGCATATCCATTTGCCACTGATGTTATCATTGGGCCAGCGTCATACTGGGTCACTGGGATCACATTGCAGTGCACCAACTACTACACTGCGCACATCTTACTCACCCGTTCTCAGCCACCCACCATATGCTAGCACTCCACTCGGTGTTGTAAGCCACAGTGGAGGCTGCTGGGCAGCTTTTCTTCCAAAGGTCTCCATCCTCAAAACAATTGGCAGTTAAAGGGTTAAGTTCTTAATTTCCACTGCCACCGTTTACCCAGAAATTTTAACGGGTACACCATAATCTGCAAGTCACGTGTGTTCAGGTAAAGTGTTGGTATGTGCCCATCTCTTCCATGATGCCTGGCCAGTGTGGAAAAAGTAGGTTCTCGAGAACAGATCTCCCCAGTGAAAGCACTTGTGTGCTTGGGTCGGGAACACAATATAGTATTCATGAGCACCATATGAGACTCCTCATTGTTTTCGGACTATGTATGAATGCTTTCACCATTTTATGAACCTACCGACGTCTTGTATGACTGTTCCCAGGACAGCACGAACGCCATTAAGAGCACGAGGCTGACAATGATGGTGAAGAGGAGCAGCACGCGGCCGCATTTCCATTGCAGCCTCATGCTCCTTGCAGACCTGCAGTCTGCCAGATGTGCAATATGTGCAATCCTCAACACGTGCATCCATTTACGATTATGGACATGATAAATTATTTTACCATTTTCAGAAAAAGGATGCTTTAACCTTCAACCTGTATTTGGCTCCAAATAGTAGGTTAAAGTAGGAAAGTACATTTTTTATGGCAACTTACAAGTACAACATTTCATGGCTATAATCCATTTTAAATATAGTTAGAATGTGCATAGATTGCAATCAGCTCTATTCTATATTTACTGTAACATTAAATAGACTTTTGTGAAAATCACATCGCTCCGAACCCACCAACTCCCCTCAGAGGTAGGGCCTGTAAAGTCGTTGTTATGAACTTGGGGGGCCGAGGGATATGGGTGGTTCAGGGTCCATGCCAAGCTCGTGCCTCATTCCAGCCCTTGGTTATTACGTAGGTCATAAGAGTTACCCATTTATGAATGTACTTACTCAAGAAACTTCCGTTTTCCATTCAGACCAATTGTTGAGTTACAATTAGGTTGCAACAGGTTATAAGGGAGTAAAGGTTAAAATATAGTAAAGTATTCCCTCGTAAAGTATTCCCTCATAATGCATGAACTTGCTAACCACAACTTTGGCCATCTGCGAGGGAAATAAAGTAAGAGATACTTTCATATTTACTTATATATCATGTTTATTTGTGTTTACCATTTATTTTGTGTTATCATAATTTGCACGTATATAATAGCTTATGTATCTATTTAATGTAGTGCGTAAAAAAAAGGTTTTCGTAGGACAATATCATCAACGAAATTTCATATTCACAAGCATCTCTGGAACATAATCCTCGTGAATAATTAAGGAATATTGTATTATAACTTGAAGTATGCGACTAACATTTTAAAAGCCATTTTGCAGTGAGATATAAGACTTAACTCCTGTGAAACACACTATTGATGCGAGTTATTAAATCCTTTATATTAAGTTCACTTGCTTGCTTGCTTACGACCGTTGCAAATCTTTCGGTCGTTTTTTAACCCACTTCCCGTGATCCAATCGAGCTGACATTTTGCACACAGATTCGTTGTGCGTGACAATGTATTTTGGTGAAAAAAAATTCCAAAATTTTACACCTTTTAGGAATTATTTTTTATATTTAATTACCAATTGCTTAATGGTGGCAGACAATCATCTGACCCATAGGTGGCAGCCATCTCAAGCCAGAGGACGAGAGGACTCTAGCCGCCCGTTTCAAAGACCAATGTGGGCTGGGTTGTGGCCCATTGAACACGCATATAAAGGATTTATAGTGAAAAACTTTGTTTTTACGGGTAATTTTTTTTATGTATTAGTATGGAATGCAGCTGTTGTGACCAGTGGCAGAAGTGAGGCCACGGATGAGAGAAAGGTGGGGGACAATGTGGCTAATAAAGGGACGTGATCATGAGTGAAAAATAATCATTACAAAGGCCTTCTTTTTGGGACCAGAGTTGATCAATAATTGAATATTCTTCCTATCTTTCAATTAACCATTTCACTGGGGGGCATGTTGGAGCTCTTCAACCACCACTTCATACAAATTCTAACACCGATATGTCCTATATGTTTGTTGTGTACGTTTACATCTGCCAGCCAGCTTTTTGTTTATGTTGTTAAATTTGAGTAAGTAGCACTGAACATTAATTTGAAATACTGCTTGATATTTTGACATAAAATCACTTAACTTAGAACAGGGGTAGGGCAATCTCTGCTTCGTGACGTAATAGTGCATGTGTAATGACATCGCGGATGTCACTGTGTGGTGCCGGCCCTAGAGGGGCACGGCGTGCGATGTACTCACATTGCGGACATCACGTATATAGCGACATCGTGAATGTCACTGAGCAATGCCGGCTCTAGCGAGGCATGGCGTGAGATGCACATTGTCATCGTGGACACCCCGTGGGTGGGTGTAGTACCAACCCTAATGAGGGCTTGGTGAGCGCTGGGATAGCGCAGTGGCACCACGCGTGGCTTGCAGTGCTGACTCCTACAGGAGGGAGTGTGGGAGTGTCAGCCATGGGATGAGGTTACCCTAGGCCATGGCACTCTGGTTGACCCTGGAAGACACGTGACCAGCAAGATCTACACAAGGGCCCCAGGTGGGGGCTTGGGGGTGGTCACGTGTCAGGGTGAGATCCTACGGGAAGGGTCGAGGTTTCTCGAAGGTGGTCGTGGCCAAGGGCAGGGCCAGCCACAACCCAGGAGCATATAAACCGGGGCCGCACAGGGGCCAGGGTTCAGCGTTGTTGTCGTCATCTGAAGATCTACGATCTACCTTCTACATCCAAGAAGTCACCAACACGTGGATGAGGACTCCAGCCAGGGTCCTGTCCGTTGTAGCTACCCCCAGTAACCAGTGTATTTAGCCTGGTGGTCCACCACCATAGGTTATCTGGTAAAGGGGCAGTAACCCCTTTGTGTTATGTGTTGGTGTAAAGAAATGTGTTGCCTCCAAAGAGTAAGTCTGCGACTCAGTTGAATCTACTACATATGTATTCACATGCATTGCGGCTCTTGCAATAATGAGTTTTGTACCGAATTCGAATTTTTATCTTATTTTGGTTGCCAACCCCTGGCTTTTAATGGACTTTCGGTGTCTTGTGCAGTTTTACTAATCAATGTATTACTACTCCGTTCTAAATCTATATCCTAATGGAAATATATATTTCAACCTTGGGACGCAAGTTCGTACAATCGATAAATAACAAACCTCTCGAGAGCAAGAATAAATATTGTATTTAATTGATTACACTGGTCAACATACTTTTTCGGGCATAAGGTATTCCAACGGGTTTAAGGTAATTTTGGGGTACTGATTCCAAATCTGGCATCAGTTTTTGTCTATCACATCAGGTTTTTGAGATATGAAATGTTGCATTTTCAATAAAAACTGCAGAAGAAAATATTAAATAAATGTGGATATCTACATAAAATGATATTATAAAACACACTATCCTAAAAATACAGCACCATATTTTAACACTAAAGCAGTCACTGACTTGCAACAACTTTCAATCATAAGTGACAGAGTAAATTTCGGGTAAAATCAATTAAAATGGGGTATGCCGATAGCATAAAAATTAGATGTGATAGAGTAAATATGAGACCAGATTTGGAATCAGCACCCTGAAATTAGTCTAAAACATCTGCAAAAGTCCAGGCCAGAATTTTTTTGTTTCTGTTGACCAGTGTTATTAAGACCCAGCTACACAACAAGAGTCAATCTTGAGGGTACCCCAATGGGTTCTCCCTTATCGCCAGTGGTAGCGAATGTTTTCATGGAGAAATTTGAGACAGATGCCATCAAGACATCCACCCTACGTCCTTCCTTGTGGAAGAGATACGTAGATGACACGTTCGTCATCTGGCCACATGGCCTGCCAACACTGAACCAATTTCTCAACCACATCAATTCCATACACCCGTCTATAAAATGCATCAAGCACTGAACCAATTTCTCAACCACATCAATTCCATACACCCGTCTATCAAATGCATCATGGTAGTGGAAAAGGATGGCACGCTACCGTTCCTGGATGTTTTGGTCGAGAAGAGACCTGATGGCTCGTTGGGACATTCGGTCTACAGGAAAGCCACTCACATGGATGCCGATCTAAAGCCTGACTCCCACCACCATCCAGCCCAGAAGAATTCCCTCATCAAAACACTACACCATAGGGCCCATTGCATCTCCGACTACCACCACCTAGCGAGTGAGTTGGAGCACGTACACCAAGCCCTTAGGATGAACAGATACTTGGACCGTACAATCTGCAAAGCTGCCTCCCCAGCCATGGGGAGACAACCTTCTGAGGGTCCAACCAAAACCATCACGTTACCATACATAGCAGGGGTTACCAAAAGATTTCCAAAATCTTAAACAAACACAATATCCAAGTTCGTTTCAACACAGTACACAAAATCCGTGATTTAATCCCATCTGTAAAGGATGTGATTCCTGGCATGCAATACCCTGGTGTCTACAAACTGAGTTATAGTTGTGGCAGCAGTTACATTGGGGAAACGAAACGACGTGTCTCGGACCGCGTTCGTGAACACAAGGCAGATCTGAAACACGGTAGGACGAATACCTCTTGTTTTAACGCAGTGGGCTCACACGAAATAGATTTTTCCCAGACGGAGGTACTCTGTAAACCTACCGGCTACCTTCAGAGATTTGTTCATGAAGCCATTCCAGATACATAAATACAGACACAACTTCAACCGAGAAGATGGGTACAAACTGAGCAATCATTTGAAGAACGTCATTAACCAGGTAAAGTCTTAACTGACTTTGAAGTTTCCATCCTACCTGCCTATGTCAGCTGTTATTTCCGACTGTGTGTCTCTCTCTAGATGCCTCTCTTAGATCTCTCACATGTCCTTTGGATTGCACTCTCATGCTCACATGTCCTTTGGATTGCACTCTCATGGTGCTAATCTCTCATGAACACTGCTGTTGTGCGCATATGCGGGCATGACACTCTTATGCGGCGACGGAAGCTCATTCATGCTAATCTCCCTAATCCCTCCCTCCCTAATCTCCCCCATTAACACAACTGACGTACTTACGTCCATGAGTGGAATTCCTTTCCAGCTCAGACCCCGCTTGCTTGCCCATCGCCACATATATAACCTCTTGTGACTGCTCTCTTCGCTGGTTCAGCAGTTCCACTGCTGGATTAGATTTTTTCCGCCTGAGGACGACCGCTTGTGTTGCGATCGAAACGTTGTGATTTATTTTATTTTATACCTACGTGACTTCACTGAAAGAACCAAAGAGTATACAACAAGAGTCCCCGACACGTGCGGCTGTGTATGGTGAGCGGGGCTACTCGAGACTGGCGTGGTCGAAGCATCACGTTTTATGTTAAAAACACTTTGGCAGTATGTATTTGCCTCACTGAAAGTTAAATTTTGTTTAAACAACAAATATAATAATTACACGAATGGACAAATAAAATTATTGCATGTGGAATTGTTTGAAAACAATCCAGTCAAAAAGACAAATGCTGCATGGGTAGATCTTAAATTATTATTTTGTGTTAATGCTGTACTATGCTACATTAGAGTACTTTATTGGGTTATAGTACAATGCAATGTCATGGTATATTGTCTACAGATAGACTCCGAGATTATTTCGACTATAAGAGGTTTTTTTTGGTTAGAGCGCGTATATATATACGCGACGTTAAACCCGCCAACACCCGACACAGCCAACTAGTAAGGGGTGTCACGTAAACAGAACGTGACAATTCGTCACTAGTACAGCACTAGTGTGCAGTGTATAGTGTAGTGTATAGTGTAGTGTATAGTAGTGTAGTGTATTGTGTATAGTAGTGTATAGTGGAGTATACTAGTACAGCACACCGGTGTGTTGGAGAGCCAAGACACAACATTTACAATCGGAGTACGACGTTTCGCCAGTATGTGCAGACTGAAGTCAAAACGGGGTTCCGCTTGGAAAAAGAGCTTTATAGCTCATCGGATTCCTCAATTTTAAATACATATTCTGATTCTGACATGTAATTGGCTTCCAAAGTTGCACTGAGCACAACGCGATGTCACCCATATGAGCAGACCATTGTATGCTAGTGTCAAGACATAATCACAATTTAAAATGCACTATTAAGTGCCATTATACTTGACCATACAAATAAAAACATTAATAAACTAATAACTTTTCCAGGTTAATACATCTGCCAGGGATTAAAATAACTAAAGGTTAAAAGGGTCTCCCTCCGCAAGGCTGGCAGAAGATAAACTGTAGGTAGCAGTGAAAATATATTGTGAGGTTAATCAAACACATTGATGTTTACACGTAGCGTTTGCAAGGTGCATGAATGCTTATCCTGCACAAAAGAACGTTCTTACTGCGTGTGTTCATTTGTTTACTTTTATTGTAATTTTTTTCTATCTACGCGACTTTACCAAACGAACCATAGAACAGTGTTCATGTTCGAGTTAGTGTTTCCTGAGAAAAATAAGTAACAGGGAATCTTTCACTGCTGTTGGCAGCCCTGATATGCAAATCCCACGGTTATAAGTTGAGCACTCCAACCACAAAACTGGGAACAAGTTTATCCGAACGCTCAACCACAAATGCAAATGCCTGGCTTTGCAGCCATAAGCATGCGATCACGCTATGTAATGGAAATGGTCTTTACAATGGTTGCAAAGTGTGGGTTTGTGGTGGGTTTGTGTTTCACTATGCAATTCAGCAATGGACTCAGACACAACAGATATTACCCCGTACTTATAAACAACAACCGCCATGCATCACTAAGTGGCCAGGCGATGTGCACGTTAGGGCCTGCTGGCAGGTCATGAGACAGACCCAGGTGCCATGGCTTGACTGGTCGATACACCATCTATGCCCCCTACTCTGCCAACTTGCTTTGTTATAAGAGCAGAGATACACTTGTGACAAGCACTGTACTCTATACCTCAATACACCTATTCAGTTATAACTCCTTTGCTTTGGGAATGTAAAAGTGCAGTACTGTCAGGCCCTTAAGGTACCTATTACAAAACTAAAATAATGCCGCCCATTTAAGCAAGCTGTGGAAACGTAAGTACTGTACAGTGGCCATTACATATTGGCATACCGTTATTTTTGGATGCCGAAAATCTATGGGATATTGCATAATAGTGTTGCTATATGCTCTATACGGTATGGCAGCAGCAGTGGCACACATTTCTTGTGCATAGCACTATGAACCGAACGATCTGAATTCAATTCCGAGCTTCAGCTGATAGTGGCAATTTATATCTGAACCAGTTCTGGGCAACAACCGCACAGATCAGTAAGGTGGTTTATTATCAAGCCTCATGACACAATCATCATCCAGCAGTGGATTGACCCAGGGCTGTAAATGTATTGAATGTATGCAACAATGCAGTACAAAACTTTCCACAATCATTGTTTCAATTCCTCACCATTACTGCCATCTAATGTAATAAACATGCATCATATCACATTAAAAAATGTCTAAATGTTTAATTTACCTGTTCATATAATTTGTTCAGCTACTTTTAGGTCCTGCAGCGAGAAAAACCCATCGGGTAAATAATTTCAACTATTTATCTACTTATGTCATCACATGTAATTTCTAAGAAACATTTTCACACAGAATAAAATTGAACAGATTGCTCATAATGCATAACTGCCTCTTGCAGCTGTCATTCAAGCTTTTAGTCCAAGTATTTAATCCAGCTTTCAATTTCCAGCTGTCAAGAGCAAGGGCTGTCATCATTTTCGCAATGGAAAATAACAACTTTGGGCTTTTACAGATTTACACTCTTTGGGGTGATTCATCGAGAAGCAAATTGCCCCATACAGTGAGGGAAAAAAATATTTGATCCCCTGCTGATTTTGTACGTTTGCCCACTGACAAAGAAATTATCAGTCTATAATTGTAATTATTTGGACAGTGAGAGACAGAATAACAACAACAAAATCCAAAAAAACGCATGTTAATTTTTTTAATAAATTGATTTGCATTTTAATGAGGGAAATAAGTATTTGACCCCCTCTCAATCAGAAAGATTTCTGGCTCCCAGGTGTCTTTTATACAGGTAATGAGCTGAGATTAGGAGCACACTCTTAAAGGGAATGCTCCTAATCTCAGCTTGTTACCTGTATAAAAGAGACCTGTTCACAGAAGCAATCAATCAATCAGATTCCAAACTCTCCACCATGGCCAAGACCAAAGAACTCTCCAATGATGTCAGGGACAAGATTGTAGACCTACACAAGGCTGGAATGGGCTACAAGACCATCGCCAAGCAGCTTGGTGAGAAGGTGACAACAGTTGGTGCGATTATTCGCAAATGTAAGAAACACAAAGAACTGTCAATCTCCCTCGGCCTGGGGCTCCATGCAAGGTCTCACCTCGTGGAGTTGCAATGATCATGAGAACGGTGAGGAATCAGCCCAGAACTACACGGGAGGATCTTGTCAATGATCTCAAGGCAGCTGGGACCATAGTCACCAAGAAAACAGTTGGTAACACACTACGCCGTGAAGGACTGAAATCCTGCAGCACCCGCAAGGTCCCCCTGCTCAAGAAAGCACATATACATGCCCGTCTGAAGTTTGCCAATGAACATCTGAATGATTCAGAGGACAACTGGGTGAAAGTGTTGTGGTCAGATGAGACCAAAATGGAGCTCTTTGGCATCAACTCGACTCGCCGTGTTTGGAGGAGGTGGAATGCTGCCTATGACCCCAAGAACACAATCCCCACCATCAAACATGGAGGTGGAAACATTATGCTTTGGGGGTGTTTTTCTGCTAAGGGGACAGGACAACTTCACCGCATCAAAGGGACGATGGATGGGGCCATGTACCGTCAAATCTTGGGTGAGAACCCTCAGCTAGGGCATTGAAAATGGGTCGTGGATGGGTATTCCAGCATGACAATGACCCAAAACACACGGCCAAGGCAACAAAGGAGTGGCTCAAGAAGAAGCACATTAAGGTCCTGGAGTGGCCTAGCCAGTCTCCAGACCTTAATCCCATAGAAAATCTGTGGAGGGAGCTGAAGGTTCGAGTTGCCAAACGTCAGCCTCGAAACCCTAATGACTTGGAGAAGATATGCAAAGAGGAGTGGGACAAAATCCCTCCTGAGATGTGTGCAAACCTGGTGGCCAACTACAAGAAACGTCTGACCTCTGTGATTGCCAACAAGGGTTTTGCCACCAAGTACTAAGTCATGTTTTGCAGAGGGGTCAAATACTTATTTCCCTCATTTAAAATGTATAACATTTTTGACATGCGTTTTTCAGGATTTTGTTGTTGTTATTCTGTCTCTCACCGTTCAAATAAACCTACTATTAAAATCAGCAGGGGATCAAATACTTTTTTCCCTCACTTTATATCCACAAATTACAACCAACCCACCCACATGCATAAAATTAGAATTAATTTAGAGTTGCCTAAGGTTGATGAATTTATACAGCAGTGTAATCGGGCACAAGGACATCACAAAGTATCGTAGATTAGTGGAAATAATGTACTATTTTTTTACTGGTAGGAACCCACTGGTTCCACCTGCCCACAGGGGATTATTGTGTCCGTCCGTCGTGCAGGGAGGGGCTGGGTGGGGAGGGGCTGGGTGGGGAGGGGCTGGGTGGGGGGTGTGAGGGGTGGGGCTGGGTGGGGAGGGGCTGGTCACCCCGTGGTGCCCTTATAAAACTCAACGTTTAACCTACTCACACCGGCTTGTGCCCGCCCTCACAGTCGGGAATATTTGCGGAATACACCACGCCGCCGTTGACCCTGGCCATTGACCGAGCAACCCAACGTTCCTACCAGCTCCCTCCGCAAGCAATGTGTTTAAATACCACGTCAAAAGTTAGACATTGCAGTAGAAATGCTACACAAAATAAAGTAGGAAGCATTATGAATGTGATATTTTTTATATTTAAATTTATGTTACACAGCTAAACAATCTTGCGATGTTGTCTGTAAACCTAGCTGGCTGATAATACAAAAAAAAGCTTCGATGCGCTGTACAACATTAATAAGTTGCATTTTCTTAAAGCAGTATTTCACAATGCTTACTTTTAGACAACCGAATGAACCGGAAACAGCTTTGACGCATCTCCATAAGCAAGTTAACAAGGTCCATGACGTGCAAGTAAACCAATTCCTCCAGAATTAATGTGCAAGTACAACAACAACAAAAGTAAAGTAAAACATGTAGTGTGTATTCACCTTTTAGAAAACGATTCTTTGACGAACGAGTCCTTTGGAAAACGCTGGGCTTTTATTCATTCCTCTATACAAAGAAACGCGCAGATGAGAGACAAAGCCGACACCATTCTTTCAGACCGAAGTGCGCAAAGCACCCAAGCAATATAAAACGAAATGTACAAACCCACACTCGTGACGATGTTGCCAGCCATTCAGCAGACGTTACACGGTTAAATATTTACGTAAAAAAAAAACTGTCGCAGATAAGACCGCGTTCTAGAAACTACACTGGAAGTCAGTCTATTGCTGGGGTCATAAAAGGTGTCAAATTATTAACGGATTACAGTACAGGTAACTATTGACCTGTCTCTTTGGAAGAAAAACAGTCCATCGAATAAAAACAGAAAAGTGCACGATTTGTGATGAATATTGTACATAGTACACAGGCCAGCCACTTCTGTCTTTTTCTGAAATAGCAAAGGTACATGTAACAGTATCCATAAGAGGTTTCTTGGGTTAGATCGCGTAAATATATGTCGTTAAACCCGCCACCACCTATGTGTAAAAATGTAAGTTTGTTCCAGCTAATTACTATCATAATTTCATATGGTACTGAAGTACTAGAAGTTTTGATGTTTGTATTTATGCATATAAACAGTACATGAGTGCAGTAGCGCTCACTTAAAAAAATGGTTAAAGTACAGCAATTGGCTAAACATTTGTTTTACTAAAATAATCACGTATGTTGAATCAACCATCAACCCCAAAACCTAAATCAACACCAATTGTGTTAATATATATAAGTCAAGACGCCTGGGCAACCGACGAGCAAACAATCGAGATTCCTGCACCTCCGATGAGTACGTTTAGCTACGTACAATGCGAAGGAGTTCAACACATGTACAGATCTGAGCAACTATTCCTCATTGGAGCAGGAGGACGCTTTGCCTTGCCCCAATCGCTATTGAAGAGTGTGCGTTCATAACGCGAATTGGATATAACGTGATGTATTAGGAAGCACGTTTTTTTCCATAACGTGGATGAGAATTGGATATAATGCGATTGAGTGATAAGAACGACATCGCGTGAGTAGGAATAAGCGGTTGTATGGCCACCTCGGCATCGCACAAGGTGGGATGCTGCTGGATGCTTTCAGATGCTACCCAGACGCCTCAGTCTTTGTTCAGCCTGCATACGCATCTCTCATTATCACAAGCTGTGCTTTACCCCGCATTATATATAGTTTATTACAAGAATATTTTTCCATAAAGTGGTGTTCTTCAGGAATGCAACTACCACGTTGCAGGAGAACAGACTGTACTCCAATTCCTCTCCCGACAACAAATTAAACCCCAGATTAAGTCAATATTACTCTCACCAACATCTTCAAGAGCCTCCATGGACTTGCCTCTGCCTCTTCCCTGCCATCGCAATATTCCCTCCATGCACTTTCCTCTCCGACAACCAAGGCCTTCTGTCGAAGCTGTGGGGACAGGTGTTCTTCATTGCAAGGCCCGCGGGCCACTGGCGTCCCCTCGTGGCCTTTAGTGCGGCCCCCGACAATATACAAATGTCAAAATACCCCTTACAGGCGGTGTGACGGCCCTCACATTGATGTCTTATTCACGAAAGTACCCCCCCCCCCCCGTCAAAATTAGTGAAGGACACTGCAGTGGGAGGTCACCTTCTAAACCACTTCCCAAACGACCTTGAAGTCTTCCCCCCAGTCATTCATCCTTTCAAGTCCAGGCCACTGTCGACTGGCTCATGGTCAACAATAGAGATGATCACCGCCTAACACCTGCTTGAGAATGGACACATTTTCACTTGACGACCTTTTCCTTAAAGCAAATTCTGAGTCTGCTTGAGCACAAAAAAAATGTTGACATAGCACCCTAATATTACAGTTGAATCAATTTGACGGAGCAAACTTCCTGGAAGATATTTTTCTTGTTGGGCTCTCCATATCAAGTGTAAATTATATGGTTTTAGTATGGCCATAGAGGGAACTGTAATCCAGTCTACATCCGAGGCCAGAAACTTGGGAGTTATCGGAGACCCCAGTTTGAAATGAGGCCCACGTATGTATAATTACCGAAAACGCATTTCTCCCCCATTCACGCAACAAAGCTCAACTAAGACCCTATGCAGTTCCTTCCTAATGTAGAAAGGCTGGTGCATGCCTTCATTTAATCAAGGTTGGATTACTCAAATGCCTTCCTTGCTGGCGTTTCTAAAAGTGTTTTAAATAGACTACAAACGCAGTTGCCCACATTTTAAATGTAAATCGTGTGACCGTATTACTCTTTCTTCCCTGCACTGGCTCCCTATAAAGAACAGAATCGTCTTTAAGGTTATTCTTCTCACGTTTAATGCATTAAAGGGAGGTGGTTCCGAAATCTCGCCGATCTGCTTAAGCTTTATATACCACTGAGAAAACTAAGATCTGCTGATTCTGGTCTACTCGTTAATCTAAAGACCAGCCTTTGTTCTATGAGACAGAGCTTTTTACAGCTCGGCTCTGCCATTGTGGAATTTCCTTCTTCAGTCCATTTGGGAATCTGTGTCTGTTACCCTTTTTAAATCACATCTTAAAACTCACCTGTTTTTAAAAGCTTTCTCCGTAACTTAAGCTTCATGCAAAACGCCTTGAGCAAATTGCGCCATAGAAAACCAAGTTTATTTTTCTCATCTTCGCAAACAGTGTCTCATTTCACATTCAGCATGGGTATTATCCAGTTGACATTAACCTTGTGATCTCTGAGCAGCAATGCTACCAAAGCATGATCCTGAGCGAGGCGGCATGTGACACATACTTTTGCAGAACACATTGTTGGCTGGTCATGCTCAGTTAAACTAGATCCATGTGATCCAGCATTATTTTTCAATGTGAAGGCTTCATGCAGTCCAAATGCATAACGTTCTGGGACCCATGTGACAATACGTAAAAAGTTACGTGTGCTTTAAATTTCAACACGAGCCAATTTGGCTATCCTTTTAAATAAAACGATAGGAATGCAATTTTAACAGTCTGAATCATATGGTTAGCAAAAGTCTGTTTAGGCTTTGCCACAATGTAATGTTCCAAAAAGTATTTGCAGACAAGTGAAGTATGCATTCTTCACAACTTGCTCCGACTTACTCTTCACTCTTTAGAAACACTACCTTCTTATTCTTCACATCTCCGATTAACACGGTTAAAAACGTACGGTGCCAAGTTCAAAATGCATACATACATACTACTTGCTTGTGTTGAACCAGTGCTGCTGAAATTACACTTTTGGAAGATTATGTGCGCTGATGGGGTGTTAAACACGCATTTTCTTTTTTATATCGAGGAACAGATATGAAGGAGGCATATTGCATATTTTTTTTTACCATACATTCGATTGGTGGTTCCTCTCATGTTTAAGAGGTGTCTGTAATTAACCTCCGTTAAGTCTACATATTTCCATATTGACATGTATTACAATTTACCACTTTTATATTGCATGTAACATTGTAAAACCTTCTAGTCCTGCGGTAATGTTCTTTTTTCACCTGTGATTACCCGACCCGACCAACCCATTTTAGCATTGCCAACTTACCCACGACGCGACCCACTTTAATTAGACCTGCAACCCGATCTTGCACATTTCTTATACCTCCAATTGGATACTTAGACGATTCCAGCAGTTTTAAAGCACCAACTACCAAATAAAAAAAAAATCTGCTCATAAATATGAATTTTAAAGAGTTAACCACAAATAAAACAATATATAACCATGCCTAGCACACATTGTCGACTCTGCTAGTACATATATCTACAGAGTGGCTTGTTATGTAGCAATTAGTGTAGAAAGTTGTGCTTTATAAAAATTAATTTGAAAATGTCCCCGCTTCAAGTTCTTGTCAAATTCTGATTTACCCATCAAAAGATGTATCCTCCACACAATATAAACCCTGCTCTGACATTTGTTTGACCTCATCCGTCGACATAAAAAAAGTGGTAAAAAAAGTTAAATTAAGCTTACAGGTCTGCTCTTTGGGTCTTTCGGTAAAGTCACGTAGATATCTACGCGACTTCACCGAAAGCTTTAAGTCAAGATCTTACAGGTCTGGTAAGCCATCAACTCGACCACGTATTCACTTCGGCTCCAACACGCGCACTCGGACGCTGCGAGCACTGTCCAAAAACAGTATGAAATGTAGTACTGCCCAATCTATAGAAAATGTTCATCTAGAAAGTGTGCGGGTCACCCGTGAGTCACCAGACATGACCCGAACTACAAGCCATTACAGTGGCTGCGTTTCGACCAGACGCGCAGGTTCCCACAGGTACCTGGCCCGAAATGCAGGACTTTAGCTCCCACCACTGTACTGTTGGCTTTATAGAAAATTATTACAGTAGATGGCTTATGCCTGTGACCAAATAACCCAGTGTACCACATATTGTCAAATATATAAGCCAAGTAGGGTTGCGCTTGGATGAAAAACCACCGTGCGCAAGATACATCTGCAACAGGCGTTGTGGGCAGTGCAGCAAACGACAATGTTCTGCAGGGCCCCCACTCCCATCAACACACATCAACCACCGTGGGCGAAATTAGTCAAACTTCTCACGGCCCGCAAGTTGTGAGGAAGCCCTCATCGAGCAATGGATAAAAACAAATGGGCTGTACAAATACATGGTTTATACAGCATCTGCTTATTCTTGACCTATTTTGCTAACGTTCTCACCGACATGTGTATAATATTTAATCTTGATCTAGTTTTCGAATTTTATGCTAAATATAGTACTCTACATATAGTCTGTTGATAAGGAAAGACTGGTGAATGTGAATAAATAAAATCCTTACTTGATGTGCCGTTGGTATGGGATATGTGGTATATTATACCACTTCAGCCAGCAACAATTAGGGAATCAATATGACCCCTAATGATGACTTGTTGGCTTTGTCATCAATTATCCTATTTCTCTCAGTAGGTATCGATTCAGTATTTTGGTATCCCATTAAGAAATGCTGATACAGAAACAAGAAATGCTTTGTTGTATACGTGCAACTTGCTTTGTGGACATAAGGGCAATAAAACATTTTTTTTTTTAATGTGTGGTGTCCAAATACCGCACATTGCATTGTCACAGTACAACATTCTGGGGGACAATTTATCAGTATCCATTTGCGTACAATAAGTGTTTCAACAATGTGAGGCTTGAAGGAGTTGAACAGCGTAAGAGAATATTGCCTTTCTCTATACTCTTTGGTTCTTTCGGTAAAGTCACGTGGGTAGAAAAAATAATAGACCACGACGTGTCGATCGCCACACGAGCAATCGTCTTCAGGTGGGAGAAGACGATCGCTTGTGTGGCGATCGAAACGTCGTGATCTATTTTCTTTTTCTACCCACGTGACTTTACCGAAAGAACCAAAGAGTATGGATTCCTGCAGTCACGAAAGCTTCAAATCAAGATTAGTCACATTTGTCAATAAAACCAACGTAAAAAAAAACATTTGGTAACCGGACAAAGCTAAAGTGCACATTGCTTTAAATATTGGAAAGTTTTTTTGGAGTTACTAAGAACGTATTCCTGTATGAAAAAGGTCATATTTGTGAACGTCGATAGGAAATTACCTTTGCACCATGGACACACTGTGCTGGATGGGTTTAGGCATTTAATTAAACCCAAGAGTTTCTGGTACTCAATCGTTACAAATTCACGTTTAAAAACTGGTCATCATAAAATATTGTGGAAAGTGTAGTCTCCATCCCGTATCCACCATCTCTCTTGCCTCTGTTTATGTGCTATGAAAAAGGACCACTGCCTGAAACGTTACCGATAATATAGATATTGTACTGCTGATTGTTGAATTTTTTTGTTATTTGTTCCTGTGCACTTCTGCCAAAGCAGCAGCGCCAAATAATGTTTGTTTTAGGCCACATGCCGTTTGACAGTTGGTAATGTCAAAGGCCACTCGATTTCTGAGCTAGCTAGGTGAAGCTCAAAGTAGCTTGAGGGAAACGTCGTATGTTCATGTTAAATTTAGTCATAACAAGTAAACCCGTAAAAACAAAGTTTTGCACTATAAATCCTTTATATGCGTGGCGGCGAACTTAATATAAAGGATTTAAAAATATATTCGCCTGTGGAGGACGCGGGGATCGATCCCGCGACCTTTGGCATGGGAAGCGAGGGCGCTACCAACTGCGCTACTCCGCCACGGCCTGTGGAGGGGTTACGCTCTGGGCTCTTACACTCTGACGTTCAGCCAAAGCCATGAATGCGTTCTATTTGAATATATGTAAAATAATTTTTTTTTGCCTAAAAAGTGTAAAATTTTGGGAATTTTTTTTCACGAACAATAATTGTCTGGCACAACGAGTCTGTGTGGAAAATGTCAGCTCGATTGGATCACGGGAAGTGGGTTAAAAAACGACCGAAAGATTTGCACGGTCCTAAGCAAGCAAGCAAGCACGCGAACTTAATATAAAGGATTTTAAAAAAAGTCTGAGGGCATCAGTGAACGTTATTGGTCAGAATTTGATCAATACATTGGCACATTTCTAAACGTGACAACCTTGTCAGCTGGTTGAGGTATGACAAGAATTTTGACATAAAACGTGGCCTAAGCCAAAAAGAAAAGGATCAATGCATGAGTATGTAATTTTATGCAAAAACACTGCCTTAAATAAAAACATGTAATACGTAAAATATTTCACAGTTGACGTTTCAGGAAATAGTCCTTCATAGCAGACATCGATTTAATGTGCTATGAAGAAGGGTCAGTCAAAAATGTCGCCTACGAGATATATATTTTCATGGTTAGTGTTAGTGACAAATGTGTCCCAGTCTTTTTGTTGATGGTGCTTATTCACCACTGCCAACGCAATATTACCAACTAGCAGTGCGACTAACGTTCTGAACAGGTCATTACATCTTCTTGGTTCTTTCGGTAAAGTCACGTAGAAGGGAAGTAATAAAATAATAAAAATAAAACATAATAAAATTATTCTCACGACGTTTCGGCCACAACGCAAGCAGCCGTCCTCAGGTGAAAACCAGGTCCGTCGAGGCGACAGAGTCTGAATGAAACAGCACACGAGCTTGGAGCATATATATAAGCTGGGCGCCTTGACAAATGAATTTGCATATCAAGAGGAATTTAGCATATTTATGGGAAATGCAGGAATGTGATTAGTACTGCATATGCATGTGCATTATGCAGGATTAACAGCATCAAAGGGAGCTGCAGTTGCTGCTGCTGCAGTTATCTGTAAAGGTCATTACAGGTAATTACCAGCGAAACGTCGTACTCAAATTGTAAATGTTGTGGCTTCAACACACCGGTGGGCTAAAGCAGTGAACTATTTGTCTTTGTCAACGTGACACATTTTTACTGATTGGCCGTGTCGGGTGGTGGAGGGTTACGACACATTTATAAATAAACGCGATCTAAACCCAAAAACGTTGATTATGAATAACATTGGTCGCGAAAGCCTGCGTGTTAAACTGGTCATTACAGGTAACCCGCCGCCACACCACATGGCACGCTCGACCCGTGCCACCCGCCACGTGGAGATTCTCGTGCTCCGAGACTCCTCCCCTGCGTGACGTCACCACGCAGCTGCTCCACGTGGCCCCGCCCCCCTCCCCTCGTGCGCCGCAGAGTTGTCAACAACGGCGACTCCCGACAAGAAACGCGCGTGAACTTTAACACAACCCCACCAGCCTCAGCGGTCAAAACGTTTCAGATCAAAACAACCGCAGCACCTTAACCCACTGCTCCCGCAGCCGCTGTGCGAAATCAGCAAAGGTCTTATCCGCCGTATTACAGCCAGATCTCATGTTTACCCATAGCGTGCGGTCACACACCATTCCTAGAAATCCCGCCGGAGCCTGTGCGTAGGCCTCCCGCGGCACGCAGCCGGGTTGGGGGGGGGGGTCCGGGCGACGATGTCCGAAAGCGGAGAGACTCGGCTGCCGATGCTTCAGCAGACAAAGGCGGCCCTGAGTCGATCGTGGGCCTTCGTGTCGCGGCACCTGAGCGTGTCCGAGGCGCACACGGTGGAGTTTTACAGCAGGGAGCTGTGGAGGTCATACCTGGGAGACGCAGAGCCCCGGGCGATGCAGCAGCAGCTGCTGCTGATGCTGCGGCGAGATTCGAAGGGGACGAATCTCGGGCAAGCGGAGACTCCGAGTGGTAGGTGGAGGAGGTAACGAGGAGCCACTCATTCATTCATTCACACGTCAATGTTGCAGACTACTATGACTAACCACCACGACTTCCTGTCACTACTACAACAGTACGGTTACCTAAGCAGTCTGCGTGTGAACCACACACACCACTGCATTCCTATCACCAGTCGTGTATCATCACATCAACTGTCCACCACCACCACCACCCCTGTCCTGCATTGCCACCAGCACTGTCGCCTCTACCCACCGTCCAGTCTCCTACCACCACTGCCTCCTGTCGCCCTATCAGCACCCAGTATCCATTACATAACCCTCACCAAAGATGTAATATCGCCACATGTAGTCTTTTGTCACCATGACCACCACAGCTACCTTCTGTACCACCACAATCCATGATAATCACCACAACCACGAATGCTTACCTGATCGTACTTAATTTATGTCCGCTGCCTCTTATCACCTTCTACCACCACCACTTTCGCTTGGCTTTCTGAGCCTCAATCATTTTCACTGAATCCCAAGAATATGAATCCCAAGAATCTCACTGTCGCTGTTCCGGTTGCAATTACATCGTCGCTCTACGTGATTGAGTCGAGTTCTGCTTCTCCCCGTGCGCGTTGGCCTTCTTATAGGAAGCAGCAGGGGAGAGATAGGGGAGAGGGCACGGGGGTCGAGCAGACGAGGAGGCATTTAATGGATCGATTTGACAATGGATCGCAGATGCAATTCGCTCTAATTTGCAATTCATGGGCATCGTGGCCATGGGCGCGTCGTCCGTTTGATGATGCTCGGATGCAAATGAAGTTGGTTTAAATTTGTGAGTCGTTCGTTTATTGTGCTTCTATTTATTTCGCTGTAAATATCGGTCATCGTTTTCATTGTGCAGATCATTGGTTATTGTGGTCCGGTTTTGCGCGCGAGTATATTTAGAGTTTTAATTGTTACTACGACTACATTGTTGTTTCATGAACACAGGACTAGTTAGTTAAAGCACGTGTTTGAAGTGCAATTTATTGTGTTTCGTTGAGCAATTGGTGCCTTTCTTAAGTGTTATTTATTGTGATTCATTCGTTTACAAATTGGTGCACGTTTTGACCGCTGAGGCTGGTGGGGTTTTGTTAAAGCATGAATTAGAGAATTCCAATTAATAAGGGCCAAAATGTTGCAGGGCAGGATTTGTAATTATTTAGGTCATTATTTTAATATGATTGTGTAGTTGTAATCCCCGTACGGGTATTTTATTACGCGCGTGTGTGTATTGTGTATAAATATGCTCTTTTGTGTCTATTTGTTTTGTGTGACAACCCAAAGTCCCAATCGGAATGCACCAGATAATTGCCTTATGGGGGAAATGTGCAGCCAGGAGTGAGATATTTATGTTGGTGGGCATAAATTCAAATGAATCACACCTCCGATTAGCACGGTTGGTCACGTACGGTGCGAAAGAAGTTCAACATACAACTACCACTCCAAAGGAAAGCAAATATAGTGGGCTCAATCCATAATTGGCATTGAGCTCACTTATTAATAGCCACTTTAATTCAAAGCAATTTGAATGTGGAATGTACTTACATTATAGTGCACGATGTTTTATTACTATTATTAAGCAAGAGTAGGCCATTGCGTGTTGACGTCGTCGTCCAAATTTGGTAATTTTTGAAATATTACCCGCAAATTACTCAACTTGAATATATAACACATAGCCATCATGTCCCCCGACTGTGAAAACTTGGCAGGACTCTACTAAAACAAAGTCATTAGACTCGGTGAGGCTTTCCTCAATAACAAGCTTCGCTTTAAATATAAGCTGCATTTTAAACCAAGCCAAGGGCTGTATACTGATGAATTAATGCATCTCAGTGTTAATTAATCCAAAGTCATGTAACCGAGTGAGAGCTCTTTGAGACAAAGGTGACGTGGATATTTTAAGGCAATATATTAATTGGAAAATGCTGTAAGAAACAACCAAATATACCATTGGCTCCATCTGACATTGTTCAGTATAAGACATAATTGTTGAATGTTACTGTTGGCTATTTGCATTTTAATACTGTTATGTTCTTTGGGTCTTTCGGTGAAGTCACGTAGATAGGTTCGAATAAAATAAAAATAGCAATTCTTTTTTTAAACAACGGTTTTATTCACAACTTCGTTTAACTCACCCTCGAGAAGTACGTCAATGATGCGGCACCTGCTCCCACATCAACGCTTACTTGAAATAATTGGTTATTTTATAAATGAATATTCAATGTACTACTTTTTGTGTGTGTGGAGTGATGGTAACTCGTTCACACGGAGCGGGCACGCCTGAGACGCACGGCGCCTGCATCTTGGGCGAGGCGATTCGTGAGTTTAGGGACCACGGCGTTTTTGATCTACACAAAAGTATATAATTAATAAGGCGTCCATACCAAAATGTAAATCGCTTTAAAGTAGCGAATTAGTTGATTCATTTATGCTGATTTTGATACAGGCATGCATTCTCACCGGATCTGAGTACGTGTGCAAAATGTGGAATTGATTGGACACCAGGAAGTAGACTAAATTGTGATTACAAGATTTGACCACACAGGAATCAAGTCAAGTAAAACCTTTGGAAAACGACGACGTTTCGATCACAACACAAACGATCGACTTTTTCCCTTCTGATGACGATCGCTTGTGTTGTGATCGAAACGTCGTAGTTTTTTGTTATTTTTTTTGTTATTTTCTTTGAACCTATCTACGTGACTTTTACCGAAAGATCCAAATAATATGAATTCCTGCAGTCACGAAAGCTTTAATACTAATTTGTTGACGGCATTTATGTAGGGCACCTTGAGAAATGTTCTCCCAGTGAACGTTCACTTGGTTCTTACAACTGATTTAAACATGGGACAAGGTCAACATTTCTCTATGTAGCTTTCAGTCTCAAAATACTACACTGGGATGCAGAAAATGTGTAAGCGCTGGTCAGTACTGTACAATATGCTGTCTATCTTAAATTAGCTTTTAATGAAAATTTTGTATTCAAGCTTATGGATGCTGAATCAAATTGAATAAAGAAGCTGTGAAGAAGACTATTTGATTTTGATATGAATACAAGACATCAATCACACTGGGCTGTGGTCAGGTGCTGTAGTGGTTTGAAGGAAGGGTTAGTGGATCACACTGAGATTATGCATGTTGAGACACATGTTCAAAGACAAGGAGGTATCTGTATAAAAGGCATTGCACCCAATTAGTCAGCTGTCTATTTCCGTGAAGTTTGAGTGTTAACCTATTATGCTTGTGATTTCTCTGAGTACTCTTGTTTTTGCATATAACCAAAACATGCTCGTTAATGGATTGGTCAACTATCCTTATAAAGCAAGAGCCTTCTGGAAATTAGTTATGAGACTTAGGGCTTCTTATGGGGGAAATGATGTACATTATAGTACCATTTTCAGATTAGAATAAAACTTGCAAAAACAAAATTCTTAAATATATTTTAAAGGAAATGTGTAGAAAAAATGGTAACACACTGCCACCACAATCCTACACGTGTACATTACATCAATACGTACACACCAATGAAACATAAACACAAACGGTACTGTAATAGGAACACATTATCCTTAAAAAATAACACTGTACTCAATCAACTTCGATTGCATTTCATTTGCATGGCAAATGGAAAAACCCACGCAGAGAGTGCATTACAAGTAGGGCTTTGAAATTACTTTCTCTATCCTGCAGCATGGCTGAATTCCTAAGAGGGCTGGTGCCAGGCATGTACATGCGCGATACATTAACATGTTAATTATTTACACCTGCCCTCTTTTAAGTATCCACCACTGGGGTTTCTAAGCCACATTTTGCAAATGAATACTGTAGCTGGAAAAAGCTCAAGAGTTTACGATGCTTGCCAAGGCACCAGTGACATGTTAGAAATGTGGGTTGAGAGTATTTGGCTGCTATAAATTTCCATATGATAAGCGTACTTGGTAAAACTATCATTTGTGGCCAGGTCGCTTCTGAAAAAGAATAGCCCAGTGGGCTTTACATGGTAAAATGGAAATATATTTATTTATTGTGAATTGCTTATCTTTCCTGTACTTTGCACTCCTTTAGTTTTTTTATTAATTGTTGTAACTTTCTGACCCTCCCCTACTGGGCATCTGTCTATGAAAAATAGCTTAATAGCTCATCGGATTTCTCCAGGATAAATACATACTGTATTCTAATTTTGATTATCCCTGCAGCTGTCCAGTAATAACGTAAAAAAAACTTTGTGCTTTTATTTGCAATACAGTAATAGGCATTGTTGTGCTGGTCTCTTTTGCCGATCTCTTAGATTTTTAAAAATATCCACAACTGAATTTTTAAAAAATCTGACTTGCCTCATTTTTCTGAAATTGTAATGTTGTGCTCTATGTAAAGGCAACAGTGAAATCTCAACATTCTCATCCGGATTCATAATCAACATTTTTGGGTTTAGATCGCGTTATTTATATATGTGTCGTAACCCTCCACCACCCGACACGGCCAATCAGTAAAAAAGTGTCACGTTGACAAAAGACAAATAGTTCACTGCTTTAGCACACCGGTGTGTTGAAGCGTGAAACCACAACATTTACAATTTGAGTACGACGTTTCGCTGGTAATTGCATCCAGCATCATCGGGCAATTCGCCAGAATGGTGAGGCTTTGCTCTGTCTCCCGTTCTTATATAGAGTTCTATAGAGTTCTATATAAGAAGCTCTGATTGGCCGTGTCGGGTGGTGGAGGTTTACGACACATTTATAAATAACGCGATCTAAACCCAAAAACGTTGATTATGAATAATATTGGTCGCGAAAGCCTACGTGTTAAATTCTCATCCTGATATGCAAAGGATGTATTGTGGAAATGAACCTTGAAAACCAACAGTTGATTTCTAAGTGAGTATAACCCATAGTTTAATTCTATCCATTATTAAGAGCAACAACGTAGTTGTGAAACAGGTAAACACTAGGCTTGATTCACACAATTAGAGGTGAAACATTCCAAAGAGGCATGCTCAATCAAGTTAGGAGTGGGACTCACATCCACCTGTGGTCCTGTCTTCAGTGGTGGAACATACATTTGTTTTACAAGGAGAGCCACATGACGCTGTATTCCTAAAACCCCAAAAAGGCTGCAATTTCATTCAGTATGTATGTATGTTGAACTTCTTTTGCATTGTCTTTTGCACCATATGTAGTCAACCGTGCTACTCAGAGGTGTGGGGGAAGGACAACAAACTAAACACAAAAAGCAGTTCTAAAGAAATTCGTTTTCAATGTAGATTTAAAAGTGCATAGCTCCAGTGGCTTCCTAATATAGGAAGCAAGAGCGTGCCAGACGGTCGCAGAAGCGCATCTGCTAGCACGTGATGCAGTGACCCTCTTTGTTAGATGGTTAGCCAAAAGTTGCTGCGAGGATGACCGGAATTTGTATGATGGTTTATACTCCTTGAAATCAGCAAGGTATTGTTGTTCATTCGAATAACGTTTCTGCTTTTAGCTGATGTTTAGATGGCTATTTTGGGACGTCACATTAATAACTTTTAAAATCAAACCAATAGTTTTGAATTGGCGTCATTTGGAGCAGGAATTTAAGACTCATACTTAATTGTGGTCATGTCGTCCGATGCCTAAATGTTACATAACACACCATTTTTGTTGATTGTATTTTGAATAATAAGTTCATATGAGATGGCTACCAACTTTTCATTTGACGTTTTTTAGTTCTGCATCAATGTTCTGCTGATATTTAAAAGGGACCTGTGGTTCAGTATGAAAAGCGATTAGCATGGTAGGCCACATATGGTGCGACAGAAGTTCAATATATATACATACAAAAGTAAAATTATGTTCTGAGACTCTTTAAGCTATCGATATATTTGCTTTTCACTCTCAGCCAATGTTTTGGTGAACCTGAGCCCACGATATTTACATTGACTACTACTTGCCCCACAGCCTGGTTTTGTATCTATAGTCTCGTTAGATGGTATGTTTTATTATGCATCTTCGTTTAATTAATAGGCTCTGTGTCACTTACGCAATACGCTACATTAATATGTTGCATTTTGTAAAGATTAAAAACGTTGCTCATTTCTGCTTTTTTTTATTTTTTCACAAGTTGGTTAGATATTAAATTAGGCAATTTTTGCTTTACATTTCTGACTACAACAATACATTTTTAAATTAAATCTAAATACACTATCATATACAGTGAGGGAAAAAAGTATTTGATTCCCTGCTGATTTTGTACGTTTGCCCACTGACAAAGAAATGATCAGTCTATCATTTTACTGGTAGGTTTATTTGAACAGTGAGAGACAGAATAACAACAAAAAATGTTTAAAAAGACATATCAAAAATGTTATAAATTGATTTGCATTTTAATGAGGGAAATAAGTATTTGACCCCCTCTCAATCAGAAAGATTTCTGGCTCCCAGGTGTTTTTTATACAGGTAACGGGCTGAGATTAGAAGCACACTCTTAAAGGGAGTGCTCCTAATCTCAGCTTGTTACCTGTATAAAAGACACCTATTCACAGAAGCAATCAATCAATCAGATTCCAAACTCTCCACCATGGCCAAGACCAAAGAGCTCTTCAAGGATGTCAGGGACAAGATTGTAGACCTACACAAGGCTGGAATGAGCTACAAGACCATTGCCAAGCAGCTTGGTGAGAAGGTGACAACAGTTGGTGCGATTATTCGCAAATGTAAGAAACACAAAGAACTGTCAATCTCCCTCGGCCTGGGGCTGCATGCAAGATCTCACCTCGTGGAGTTGCAATGATCATGAGAACGGTGAGGAATCAGCCCAGAACTACACGGGATGATCTTGTCAATGATCTCAAGGCAGCTGGGACCATAGTCACCAAGAAAACAGTTGGTAACACACTACACCGTGAAGGACTGAAATCCTGCAGCGCCCGCAAGGTCCCCCTGCTCAAGAAAGCACATATACATGCACGTCTGAAGTTTGCCAATGAACATCTGAATAATTCCGAGGACAGCTGGGTGAAAGTGTTGTGGTCAGATGAGACCAAAATGGAGCTCTCTGGCATCAACTCAACTCGCCGTGTTTGGAGGAGGAGGAATGCTGCTCATGACCCCAAGAACACCATCCCCACCGTCAAACATGGAGGTGGAAACATTATGCTTTGGGGGTGTTTTTCTGCTAAGGGGACAGGACAACTTCACCGCATCAAAGGGACGATGGACGGGGCCATGTACCGTCAAATCTTGGATGAGAACCTCCTTCCCTCAGCCAGGGCATTGAAAATGGGTCGTGGATGGGATTCCAGCATGACAATGACCCAAAACACATGGCCAAGGCAACAAAGGAGTGGCTCAAGAAGAAGCACATTAAGGTCCTGGAGTGGCCTAGCCAGTCTCCAGACCTTAATCCCATAGAAAATCTGTGGAGGGAGCTGAAGGTTCGAATTGATAAACGCCAGCCTCGAAACCTTAATGACTTGGAGAAGATCTGCAAAGAGGAGTGGGACAAAATTCCTCCTGAGATGTGTGCAAACCTGGTGGCCAACTACAAGAAACGTCTGACCTCTGTGATTGCCTTCAAGGGTTTTGCCACCAAGTACTAAGTTATGTTTTGCAGAGGGGTCAAATACTTATTTCCCTCATTAAAATGCAAATCAATTTATAACATTTTTGACATGCGTTTTTCTAGATTTTGTTGTTGTTATTCTGTCTCTCACTGTTCAAATAAACCTACCATTAAAATTATAGACTGATAATTTCTTTGTCAGTGGGCAAACGTACAAAATCAGCAGGGGATCAAATACTTTTTTCCCTCACTGTATTTATGGACTGAAAATAAATTAATGTCTACAGTCAGACGTTTAACTGTAGTGTCATTCAGCTTGGGAATTATTTCTTTCACCTGTGTAATTTTTCTTCTTTGAAGCTGCACGTTTTTGGCAAAAATGTATTTAATTAGCAGCCGTGAAGAGCAAAGTCATTAGTTGTTGGTGTTGTTTTAGCACAGGGAATTGGCGGAGCGAGCTCTGCCGTAATGGATATCGAGCACTTCCTTCGCGAGGCACAGTCCCACACACTCCCTGGCCTGGGCATCTGCGTGTCAGCGGATGAAGCCTTCACCATGTTTGGCGCTGACGGATCAGTCGGTGAGTGACTACACAGGGCTGTGATGATGATTATGATTTGATGATGCCTTATCATGGAATAGCAATTTTTATAGGCTACTATACAGGACTGTGATGATGATGATATGATGATCCCTTATGGTGGAATAGCAATGTTGTATAGGATACTGTACTGGACACTGATGATGTGATGCCTTATGGAGGAAAATCAAAGTTTTATAGGCTACTAAACAGTGCTGTGATGATGATGTGATTATGCCTTATGATGGCATAGGAAATGTGGAGTGAATAAAAAAAAGAGTTTCTGGGGAATGATGTTCCGTTGTTTTAAGTTGCTGACCACATTTGCACCTAGAAGTGTCCTTGGACTTTATTTGAGCACAAGCAATTGCAGCGTCCGTGTGATGTATTATCACCCGCACAGGGACAACATGTGACATGTTGAGTCATTGACACGGCGGATTTTTTAGAGCAGGGGGCTGTGATGGCTAGCATGCTGGATTTGCAGTTCCGTGTTGAATCGTTCTAAATGAATGTCCCCAAAAAGAGGAGGGCCCCCCTAACGGTTGTTGCCTGTGCACTGTGTACTGTGTGTACATTACGTTTACCTGTCGATTCAACTGAGCCAAATGGTTCCATGTACGTTCATGCACAATCACTGTTAATTATTCCCCAGCTCTTGTCTTCATTAGCAAATTTACTTTTGATCGTTTATAAGGAATACAATTGAATTGCAATCCACTTTAGATGTGTACAGTGTCTAAGTGCAACAGCCTCTCAAGGCACTGAACAGAATAGTGGGACATGGTGCTTCACTAAGAAAATGAAGACATTAGTTTTTTTTTCAGTGGAGGCAATCATAGGCACAGGAGCAGAGTACACACAGGATTTGGCAGCATGAATGAATTATCAGGGCTTGCGAGTTCCACACCACAGGAGTAACCCCCTCATAAAGCCACGTTACCTTGGGGCTTTCACAGTGGAGAGCACGAGAAGCAGTGTAGAGCAAGATGAGAGGGGAGAAGTATAGGCAGGGGCGAGCACATGAAGGATTGTTAGAACGATATTTACGTTCTTTCGGGCCTGGAGTGGGAGTCAATGTAAGGATCAGAGTCCTGGGGTGATGTGATTGTATTTCTAGGTGCAGGTAAGAAGCCTGGTGGTGGCTTTTTTTATCCATTGGATTCGGAACATAAGGGATTTGGGGAGGCCCTAGAAGACACATTTGTCATAATTGAGTCAAGGTGTGATGAAGGCCATCTGGGGCAAGGGTTGAGGTCCTGTGGAGTTGAGATACGTGGGAGTGGGAAGGGAACAGGAGCTCAAAATCAATGATGACTCCAAGGTTACGCACTTTGTTGAAGGACACACGAGTGACTGGAAATGTAGAGTAGTTTGCGTATAAATTATAAATTGCAACTATTTCGGAATAATACTTTTAAATTGTAATGTGGTTAGAGCTAATTAAAAAAAATGGGCATATAGTTTCATGAAATTATCCAAATAATGTTTTTGTAAAGGTAAATTGTGGTTCACGTTATAGCAGACGGCACACTGTAATCAATCCACTTTAATATGTGCTGTGGCACACCAAACTCTGAAGGTGACAAGCTCAAATGCCAATTTGGTGGTCAACTCAATCCATAATCTTTCCATTGCCAATAAACAAGTGCCACCGTTGGCATAGGGCCACCAATGGAGATGACCATTGGCCAATGCTTCTTGTGCAATGAGGCACAGTTTTGAAATTGACTTGGCATACTCTTGATGATGATACCTCCACACAAATTGTGATGTGGCTGCTTTAAACGTACAGGTTATGTGACTAAGTAAAGCCTTCTGCTTGTATGATCTGCTTGTGTAGGTATTCCAGCCAGACCTGAGGACTTCATGAGCACCAAGAAGTCACACGAGGTGGAGCTCATGTCCAGAATGGTGGTAACGCTGGCACTGAAATGCAATGTATCACAGGTAAACGTCACGTAGGGTCACACCATAGATATGTGGGGTTGAACATGGTGATATCTTTTGTGTTTGGAAGCCAGGTCGGCTGTTTTGCCTGTAACAAAAGCTTGTCCTTTTGCACGCAACAAAATTTGGTCTTACACTTCACAAAGGTATTTATAGGTGATATAGAGACTTGATATAATAATTGGTATTCAAAGGGTACAGAATAAGCATTTGATATTGGCCTATGATGAGTAAATGGAGGCTTAAATCAAATAAACCATGAGCAATAGAAAAGTGGTATGTTTTAAACAATCGTGTCTCTGCCTTTCATTTTGATCATTCATGACCAATATGCCTTGGCAAATGAGAGTTTTTGCCTCAGTGTCTCTTTCCTGACAAAATTAATTTCAATTCACCATTATATTTATCGTGACATCGCTGGATGTCACCATGCTGTGGGTGCAGTACCGGCCCTAGAGGGGCAAGGCGTGCGCTGAATAATAGCGCTGGATGGCACCACACTTTAAGTGCAGTGCCGACCCTACAGGACAGGGTGTGTGGGTGCCGACCGAAGGATAGGGTTGTGTGAGGCCATGACACTCTGGTTGACCTGGGAGGACACGTGACTGGTTGAGTTTACAGGGGGGCCCCAAGAGGGTGACTAGGGGGGTCACGTGATTGGGACCCAGATCCTTCCCGAGGATTCTGGAAGGTGGACATGGCCAAGGGCGGAGCTGGCCACGCCACAGACTATGAGCCGGGTCCCGAGAGGGACCAGGGTTGTTGTTCATCCTGTAAGAAACCCTTCATCTACGATGTCCGTTTAACGAGTTTCCAACACGTGGACCCGGGCCGAAGTCGTTGGTCCCGATCCATAGTAGCAGTTACGTAGTAACTAGTGTAGTTAGCCGGGTGGTCACCACCTTAGGTTGTTATTTTGTTAAGGGGAAGTTACCCTGTGTGTTGGAACTGAATAAATGTGTTGCCTCCAAAGTCTACGTCTGCGACTCAGTTGAACCCATTACACATTCATTACGTGTACAAAGGACATTCAAAGGTGCGGGAGAAGCACAGAAAGAGAAAAGTCTGCAGATTTTAACAGAAAGTCAACACTGATGCCAACTTACGCAGTGAGAGAGGAGGGGAGTGAATTCCAGGAAACTGGAGCAACAGAGAAGCGACATTCACCTCAGAGGCCCACTTGAGGCAGATCGGAGGTTGTGAGATGGGACAAGCAATGATACGGCAAAAGCTAAATAGGCCAGTTGACCCAGAACGTGTGTTACGTAGTTATCGCTGGATTCATTTTGTAATGACAAGGTGCCATTTGTTGAACCAGGAGGGGTAATCACGAGCATGGGTGCGTTATGTATTAACCAACTAGAAGAGGGGCGTAACTGGGTTAAAGGTAAAAGGCGGGGTCAGTCGGGAAGCTCCGGTAACCTGCTCGAATGTTCTGGAAGGGGGCGTGGCCACGCCAGGAAGTATATAAGGGGTACGTGACCGAGGGTTCGGGGCTGTTGTGGGGTCCCGGGTCTTGGCTGCTGTCGCTGTGTTCGCCGTCATTTCTCTTCATCGTCAGCCACGTGGCCGATCCTCTGCACGGCTCCCATCGTTGTCGTCGCTATGTTACTCAGCCAGCTATATAGTTAGACGCCGACGATGGGGCTGTGTAAATGGGTCGACTATGCGTAGCCGTGTATATGTGTTTGTTGCCCAGTGATTGTGCCTGAAGTGTGAGAATAAATGTGTCTTGGAAGTGGCTCACTACAATTTGATCATATTTAAACCTGAAGAAAAGCTTAAACGTACACAATGAGTCATGGCGAGCTGCATGATGGAAATTACCGTACAGAGAGAGAAAGACGAACACGTGGATCAGAGAACAAATACTTTTAATAAAAGAAAGTGGGCTTGGCCAAGACGCATTGCAGATGGATGAGGATGGTGATTAAATGGCAGCCGTAGGATGGAAAATACCCCAGCGCTATGACCACCACATAAATGTCGCGAATGAGTTCCGCTTGTGTGCAGGAGTAAGATAAATTGTGGCATCGCGGGATCATGAGGGATGGCAACGGCTTGGAGAGACGCACATCCAGCAGCGGATTTATCATGGCTGATGATGATGATGAAAACTCTTGGCAGTGCAGATAAGGAATGCCACCTAGCATTGAGAAATGGACTACTGAAGGGGCCTCCGAAGTAGTTCTATGATTTACATTTTCTGGGGTCATTATCTGACACAAGGTGATTTACTGCTTTCTGTGAGTGTTTCAGATGGCATTGTCTCATGACATGGCACAAAATGAATTTCATTGGGTTAAAGATGGAAAAATTATTGGTCCTTCACATGCAGTAATGGTCACTGCAAATCTGAATATTTTCAATTAAACAACACAACTGGGAAATGTTATTAGCTAGCCACAGGTACTATGCTTGTGTAGCTATCGATCATATTGATGTCACCTTGTTGAATCGACCCACTTTCTAGACAATTTTCTATCGAATGATCAACCACGACTTTTAAGGCTGTGTTAATTAATTTCTAATTACCAAGCTAAAGTGATAATTGCGTGTTATTTATGTACTCGACAAAAAACAGTGGTCTGAGGTCACATTGCTCTAATGCTAAGGCTCCAATACGCTGATGTGGCATTCTGTTTATTGCCTTGACTCTTTGCGACAGGTGATAGACCTCGGCTCTGGAAAAGGATACCTAAGCTCCTATCTCTCCATGCAGTTTGGCCTGAGGGTGTTTGGCATCGATTCATCTGCCGTCAACACGAGGTGAGAGCCGTCCGGTTATAACTACAGCACAAGGCATTTGAAGGTTGATTCAGCGTTACATTTGTGCATTGCTTTTCAATCAATCCGTCTACGTTTGACATCGCTAGAAGGGATGAGAAGAAAAATATACAAATGCAGTGCCTGGAATGTTGGTCATGCTCTTGATTTTCAGCATAGCTTGCTCTTGCACAGCAAAACTGTCTCTCAAGACCCACATTGATCACATGGCCAATGAAATAAAAAACACATTATTGGATTCCTATACAAAAACAAAGGGTGTACCCCACCTCGACTCTGCCTGAATATAGTTAATGTCACCATCCTGCCCATATTTGGTTATTGTAACACCATCTACCACCGAGCTTCCGCGTCTACCTTAAAATGTCTCGTTCCGTTGTACGACTCCAGTCCACTTCGTTTTGCCCTTGACCTCCCCTATAGAGTCTTGAGATTCAATGAGACGTGTAATCTCCATATATATAAAAGGCAAAGTTGTGAATATGTGTGTCTGTTCAAAATGTTTAGTGTACTTCCCGACATGCAACAAACTGAAAATTTGCAATGTGGGTACTTTCCAGACTGTACACCATGCAAAAATTATAAAAATACACTTTTGGGGGGGGGGCTCAATAATGCATATAATTTATGCACGGCAAATGAGCTGTTACGTGAAATCTATCACGTAATCCGTGCATGTGGAAGCGTAACGCATTGTAGTGTAGTGGTTAGCGCGCTGTGCTACGAACCCAGCGACCCGAGTTCGATTCCCGCTCACGGCCACCACCAATGACGATTATTTGAATTGGTCCTGGGCCTCCCCTAGGTCGACTCAGCCTCAAACGAGTAACTGCTGTGGTGTGTGAACATTGCCACTGGGGAGACAAAGGCGGCCGGGCGTGCTGCTGTCACCCACCCCCTTGTGTGCCGTACCGGCCTTCATAGGTGCTCGCTAATAGCACTTTCCCCTACAGTCTGTTAAAGCTATATGGGGGATCTTTGTCTTTGTAGCAGTAGTATAGTGGTTCGCGCGCTGCGCTACGAACCCGGCGACCCGAGTTCGATTCCCGATCACGGCCAACCCCCGGTGACGATTATTTGAACCTGTCCTGGGCCTCTCCTAGGCCGATTCAGCCTCAAACGAGTAACTGGTGTGTGAACATCGCCACTGGGGAGACAAAGGCGGCCGGGCGTGGTGGATCCAAGTCCCGGGCGAAGCCGGGTAGTACAGCTAGTTTTTTATATATGCAATTATAAACTGATATGAAACTTGGCACAAGTGCCTAGTGATGTCACCCTCACCATGCATGTAAGGCTACGACTTTGATATTGCTGCTTGTTGCTGCCTGCTTGATGTTTTGGGTCTGTGCTCGGTAACTGTGTAAACAAACTCAACTGATTCATTGCGAAGTTGGCATCGAACAGCTTCTGCTGCCTGCCACACTGGGCTGGCCCTGCCATGTCTCGGTTGTATAATACATACACATACAGAAAACCCGCAAAGAGTATTGCAACACTGATTAACCGTTGTGAATGCTTTGGGATGATTTTTTCAGGGGGGCTGCAGAGCGGAACCGCAAACTGGGCAAGTTCTGGAAGGGTTATAACAAGCGGGCATCCAAACCGGAGGAAAAATTTGCTGCCTGCAGCCCAGGGCCCAATGACAAATCTAACACTTGCAAACAGCAGACTCGTGGAGCTGTGATCAAGCTTGAAACGGCCAACGACTTCAGTTCTTCATCGACCATTGAAGTATGCGTGTGTAAACAAGGGACATTTTGCAATGAAGGCACCGTTAACGGATGTAAAGAAACGTCCTCGGATGACCACACGCAAAGTTATGAAAATGGCTTGAGCTTAACAGAAAGTATGCAAAATATGTCTGCTGGACCAAACGTTAAACCTGAAGAAGGGTTTGTAGCTTCGTCAGAATTAAATAATTTTTTTAACAATCGAGATGGTGTGGCCTTAAGCATTGGCACAGATGTCTCTCCCGAGGGGGACCTCCTCCTAAAGGAACTTACAGAAATTACGGAAGTGCAAGATCTCCGTCCGAAAGACCTGAGTGTGGAAGAGAGGGCAAGAAGGAAGCAAGTCAACCTCGAGGCCAAGTCGAGCAAGGAAGGAGGCGTTAACGCACAGACGCTCCTCACCTGCTGGATCACTCCTGACACGGAGATTGGGCAGCTCATTACAGGGATGGAGGTAACGTCTGTGTTTATAACTACAACGTGCTGCTGACTTGCATGGTCAGCATAGTCAGGAGCAGGTTCGTTTAAGAAAAAAACAAGAGTGAATTTTCATTTTTACTGCCACTCAGAGGAAAGGAAGTTCTTGACATTTCAGTAAAATTGCCTTGAGGATTATAGGGAGATAATCTTAAATTGAAGACGAATGGAGTTTGGTTTATGTTGCTGATATTTCACTTCATGTCATTGGAGGGTGGTGATTGTGGCTAGCATTGGTGTACATATCAGTTTTACTTTCATTCAATCATTTAATTGGATGATAATTGACTTCATATTCTAGTCATTAGTGCTACTCCAAGCAGTGACATTTTTATCGTGGACTTCGGGATGCTTGGTTGGCTCAGAGCGTCGATTAGATTTGTCTCAACAGTGGCCAACCATAGTAAAAACACATTCTCATGGTTGGTGAATTCAATTATCTCAGAATAGTTTCCAATGACCACACAAATACCCGTTGTATGCAATGTACTTTAACTCTTAACGTATCCACACTTTATATGTATGTACGTTGAACTTATTTCACACCGTACATAGACAACTGCTAGTCGGAGGTTGTGGGGGAACAATTCTAAATAAATGAGTTTTCAAAAGGTCCCTATGTATGTCTCTGAATACACTAGCAACTCACGAACTTAGTGTAATGAGCAACATCTGGTTGGAGTAATAGAGCCTTACTCGGTGGACAACTTGAGAGGTCCTGTGGTGTCTCTTACTGGGCCATTCCCCAGCACATGCTTCTGTCTGGGGAGAGGTCCCTATGTTGATGTTTTCAAGGAGACGCTTATAAATAGTACTCTTATTCATCCCTTACTCTCTCTTCAATATCATTTACTCTCACTCTTCACAATCACCCTCTCTCTTGGAAGTTGCCTTTTAAGATTGCCGATTCTCTCACCGACCTGACTGATGCACATTCATTGTTGAGAAAGTAAAACATTGGTATAAAATTGTTGCATTAGATGGCAAGAAGATCTAGAAACCTCATGAGTTGTGGTTTGTAATTGTCGTACGTGTATAGTGTACTCGTGCATAATTGTACTGCATTTTTCACCAGTCTATGCGAAGCAACATTTTTTTGTCATTCATTTATTATTTTCACCCAGAGGTAACCTTCCTAAGTCGACGCAGCATAAAACATTCTTTCAAATTAAATGACAAAGTGGCATAGAGGAGGTACACTTTACCTCCTAATTGCTTGGGCTAAGACATATGAGCTAACTTGCTTACTGCGCAACACTGAGTGTCCTTCAGGTCTGTCTGCTGGAGGGTCGTCTCCCTTTATGCTTACATGGAATAAAAAATGCATGAAAAATAGCCCTACCACACGAGAAGTTTGGGCAATCAGCATTACACGTAAAAGAGGGGGGGGGGGGAGAAAATTGGCCGAAGTCCACCTGTGCCTGGTCTGCTTGTGGTTGCAACCAAAATCGTCAGCAGGATTTAACAAAACAATACTTCTGACCTAAGTAATTCTCTGACATCTCTTCCTTGTGCGGTGTGGTGGTAAGCTCTTTTGTACATTGTGGCTGCTGGTAGGCCTCTTCACTTCCCTGATGTGCATCATTAGAGCTGTTGTACATGAACAACTCAATACAAGACTGTGATGATGACGATCACTAAAATTACCAATATGTTACTTCTGAAATGCTTTCACGGCATCTGCGTTTCTTGGCCCATCCTTGTCTAACCTTTTTGGGGCAAATAGGTACACAAGCAGATTTTTAAAATATACTTATGGACATGAATGAATAGGGTGCATGTTGCAGTATTAAAACAAGATGTGACCCAAGAAACGAATAGCTCCTGTAGGATACGTAATGAGGCTGTGTGTCCCGGCATGTGTGAGACCACGAGATTAAAGCTTATTAATTGAGAACAATTATTTTTTTTATAATCACTGTCAGGGTCTTGTCCTATCGATGCCATATTGACACCGCCACAATGATGCATGGCCATGTATGGGAGTGATGTCACTCGAAGTTCTTGACCGTGATTTTAATGGCCGTTTTCTTTTTGAAGAAGGTTAAAGTTCACGTCGGTGGGCAGCATGGGAAACGTCGCCTGGGTACCATTATTGCGAGATCTCTTTGCGTTTTGGGTTGCTTTATGATACCAGCAATCTCAGCAGTCACTTTAAGTGAGGGACTATAGTGTTCAAAGAGGCCACAGAAATGTTTTTTTTTTTATGGGGGGTTCTCAACTTGGCTACCATAAACCCCCAAGGGCCTGCAAAGTGGTAAAGTTTCACAGACAAAAGAGGGTCGTATATAAATATCTTGAACTTCATTCGCACTATACGTAGCCAGCCATGCTAATCGGAGGTGCGGGGAAAGGACAACAAGCTAAACATAAAATTAGTTCTAAAGAAATTAGTTTTCGATCTAGATTTAATAGTGCATATTAGTGGCTTCCTAATTTCGAAAGGAACAGCGTTCCAAGTGGAAGCGCATCTGAAAGTGTGTGATGCAGTGACCGTCTTTGATCGATGGCCAGCCTGAAGCCACTGCGAGGATGAACAGATGTGATGGTATACGCTCCTTGACGAAATCGGCAAGGTATTTTGGTTCATTTGTGGCAAGCACTTTATGTGTAATGAGTGTGACCTTAGAATGTATTCGTTTGGCAACCGTAAGGCAATGCAGCTCGGTGAGCACTGGACAGACATGGTCAGATCTTGCAGTACCTGTCACGACACGTGCCAGAGAATTGTGTACACGCTGCAGCTTTGTAATCTTTTTGGCAGACATCCTTTAGAGTAGTGAGTTGCATTATCGAGCCTTGTCCGTGACAAATCCACACCAGCAAGCACCCACTTGCACCAAACTGCTGATCTAGCTTAATATAATATAGCCATACATATTATACGGTCCTTTTTCTTAAAAAGCTTCAATAGGTCATAAAACTTTTTCACAAAGCTCCTGAAATGCTATACTTTGCCAATCCCTATATAATGAGTGTTTGCGTTTGAGGGTTAAACAGAACTTGAAAAAAGCAGTGCATATCAAATGATGAATCTCTAAAATCATGCATATACAAATCAGGAACCTGTTTGCTGTACTGCCATCACTTGGCCACCTTGCAGGCTAGGAGTTTGACATTTTAATTTCATTTTTTGGTGCAATTGTGAACAACAGCCATATCAGACATTAGTACATCTAATCGGCATGATCATTGGTTCACTTCAACTCAAAGACACAGTCCTGCAAGGTGTGTGGTGAAGTTAGGAGATGTCCATGTGCCCGGCATTTGAAGGCCTGAAGACCAGAATCTGTGCTTTTTCCGACAACGTGTTCAGGGAGGCAGTTCCATATCCGGACAGCAGAGTCAAGGGGCTTCTGCCGAGGGAGCATGATCTGGCAACTGATGACATCTGCATGTCCCCACCAATCTTAATCTTATTAGTCACAGGCCTGTGCCATGAGGGATGTGCGATGGAGCCGGGATACTTCCGCTGTGATCTATCTTGAGCAGAGTTTTCTCGCTCTCGCATGTCGATATTTAGTGCTTTGGCATCTGATGTAACGGAATAACGACATGCCTCTCTTTAGGTGCAGCACCCTTACGTGAACCACTCGGTTTCCAGTAGTAGGTCTCAAATTTAACTGTTTAATTTCCCATGCAGAGAACCATCTCAGCTAGTTCCAGCTTCACTTGTGTTCTTTAGCGGCTGCTGGTATTTCCTCTGCACTGTGTCTATTACTTGATAATTTGATGCAAAATCTGACAATTAATTAAATGTAAATATGTCTTAATGAACATTGCTACAAGTTACCATATTAGTGCATAATTGAAGTAGTAATTATAAATAATACTTTACAATTAAAACTACTATTAACATTACAAACCGAGAGTATGACTTGTAAGGTTCATAGGTAGGTTTTGTATTTGTATTTGTGACAACTGATAAGCTACAATAATCCGTACCTGCTGCTTGTGTGGCTCCCAGGGCAGCAATACGCGCGCTATGCACCTCTATCTCTTCCGTATCGAAGTTTTGTCCAGATGTCCCCCGAACAGCTGATAGATTAAATCTAGATCTGAAGTTTTCGTGACTGCAGGGATCCATACTCTTTGGTTCTTTCGGTAAAGTCACGTAGGTATAAAATAAAAGAAATTAAATTATTTTATTTTATACCTAAATAAATAAATTTATTTTATTTTATTTTTATACCTACGTGACTTTACTGATAGATTAACTTCTCTTACCACAGCTCTTCCGAGCTGTTTTAGCCACGCATCAGTCTTTTTTGTTTTTGATTATTTAAACAGTGAGAACTATTGGCTGAGTGTGACAGCACTAAGCTCAGTATTGATTTTGCATCCATTATTTGTGCAAACATTGGTTGATTGGTCAGGGAATGCATGCAAATTAAAAGCATAATTTTTTTATCTAAACTATTTTTATTTTACCAGCTAAGACCCACTGAGCTATTTAGCTCTTTTTCAGTAGTGACCTGGCCGCAAATGATAGCTCAAGGAAGTGGCTTATTACGTGGAAATGTATAGCAGCCAAATACTCTTAAACGCATGTTTCTAAATGTGGAGGGAAAAACTGGAGGACCCAGAGAAAAATCCATGCAACCATGGGGAGAGCATACAAACTCCAAATATACAGCAAGCATCAGGGTCGGGATCAAATCCACGACCTCCTGCATACCAGGCGAGGTAATTAACATCTCGCCACCGTGACAAGATGTTAAGAAAAGCGTTTGAATTTGGACAGAGTACATTGCGAACAGGAATGGCAGCTGATTAACTTTTGACGAATGGCAGCCACAGAGGGAACTCGCCAGAGAAAATGACTACCGTGGAGGTAGAGCAATGAGATCAACTGATGTTCAGGAGATGATAGACAAGGAGCAGTAGCAATGTGCAGTGGTGAGGCCCTCATCCAGCAGTGAGTAGATAATGGCTGATCATGGAATTCAAAAGATCTTTCTCAAGCATTATGTTGTCAAGAATGTTATCATCAACGGATGTGATAAATATGCAGGTGAATGTATAAACGTATGTTTTAAAAGCAAAACCCCACAGATTCCCACCGTTAAAAAGGGTCAAATTTAAGAGTCACTTTCACTGCTTTAGCCGCTTTGATTTTTGTTATTAGATTTCAGTTGACTTCATTGGGTCAGCATGTCGTATTTCCTCTCGTATTCCCAATCGTTATATTTAGACGATAGAAATTGATCGCCACGTTATAATGTACTCGGCATGGAAAGTCAAATTGTTTCCAAGCTCAGCTGTGAACGGCTTAGCTCCCCTCTCCAGCAGATGGAATTTGAACTCTCACATCCTTACGATTGTGAGTCATTCGCCCTTACCACGGTGCCAACCAAATCGTTTATTAGAGGACTATCAATAATTCATTTGCACAGAATGATGGGCACATTCTGTGCAAATGTATCAATAATACATTTGCACAGAATGTGCACATCGTTGCTTGAATAAATAATCGAGTTCTAGGCTCCCTTCACTTCTTCCCCAAGGGCTCGCCTATTGTGCACCATTAGACTTCATGGCCAACGACGATCCATCACAACGTTTAAGCATATAAACGAAATTGTAAAAACAACACCTTTTAAATTAAACGTTATAATATGTGCACGCGTGTAACAAGGTGTGCTCTTTTACACCGTAAAGTACTGTCCACGACTATGAGATCTCTTTTACCAGTGGCAAAATATAATAGTAGGTTTTTACCCTTTTAACTGGTACAAAACTGACACCTTTATTCAAGGCATCATGTTTGCAATGACCACAACACAAGTAGTCAAAAAAGCAAACAAAAAGAAGCAACTCTGATAAGGATGATAAGACAGTGCATATTATCATCCTTATCAGAGTTGCTTCTTTTTGTTTGCTTTTTTGACTACTTGTGTTGTGGTCATTGCAAACATGATGCCTTGAATAAAGGTGTCAGTTTTGTACCAGTTAAAAGGGTAAAAACCTACTATTACTGTCCACGAGTTGCTTAACTATAATTAGCTTTGTAGTGTGACAATTATTACAAGTCATTATTAGGTTTTCTCAGTTTCTAGGTTGTATCAAGTGTTTTTTTTTACATATAGGCTTTCGCCCGATGATGATGGATGTAATTACCAGTGAAACGTCGTATTCAAATTGTAAAAGTTGTGGATTTACTCTCCAACACACGGTGGGCTGAAGTAGTAACTAATTGGTGCGTTGTTTACGTGACAAACCTTACTCGCTGTGTCGGGTGGTGGAGGGCTATGACACATTCATACTTACATGCTGTAACCCAAAAACCTTTATTATGAAGTGTTTTTGTTCTGGTAACACTTTATCATGCTTTCTGCTACTTTTTTTCTTTTCAGTTTTCGTCTATTTTTAGAATCCAGTTTTTTCTCCTAAATTGGATCCGGAAAGGAAAGAAACTAATAGTTGAATGCATAAGAAAGCAGACACAGGGAAAGGCAAAAGAGTTGTAAGTGAGGCAACAAAACAGAGAGATAGCAATCGATGCATTAATGAGACGGAGACTGCACAGAGGCACAAGGTATATGCAACAGAAGTGTAGATAGAAAAGACAGCAGATACAGAGAAAGAATAAAAACGTGAGAAATATATATGGCATGCTCTTGTGTTTAGCTGCTGTTGGAAAAGTGTCTATCTGCTAATCTGGCTGTGGTAATGTGCAGAGAGGTATGTGGTTGTTAAGCCAAACTGTGCTGGGTTTGATACCCATCTGTATGCATTTTTGAAGCAGGTTTGGGTCACCAGAACCTGTACTGTTGGGCTGGCTGTCTTCAGTAAGAATCAGTTTAACACGTAGGCTTTCGTGAGCAGTATTATTCATAATAAAGACTTTTGGGTTAGATCGCGTAAGTATAAATGTGTCGCAACCCTCCACCACCCGACACGGCCAATCGGTAAAAAATGTGTCACGTTAACAAAACGACAATTAGTTACTTCTTCAGCCCACCGGTGTGTTCGCAACCCTCCACCACCGTGTCGGGTGGTGGAGGGTTGCGACACATTTATACTTACACGATCTAACCCAAAAGTCTTTATTATTCAGTCAGAATGCTTGTAGGCAGAGTAAACATCAGCACTGTCTTGAACTAGATCATACTTCATGAGTACAAAGCATGATCTAGTTAATGTGAAGAATTAAGCACACGCATGGTTGAAACAAAATTACACCATATGGGCATTTTTTTATATTAAACATATCAATTTTATATTAAACATATCAATAACTTGTTATATAATTACACATGTTTCGTATCGATCCTCACCAACTGCTTAACTTGCGGTGTGGAAACCATGTGCTTTAAGGTTGAATGTAATTGCCTAATTTGACCCTGCAATTCACTCAAATTCTAACCACTCTTGATACATTTGTTATTTCCAGTGCTCTATTAAATGTATGTTTTGCACGTGTGAATATGGTTGTTTACTATTCAACAAGTCAAAAACGTGTAAGTGATTTCTTGCTCATATGAGCATTGCCACGATTCCCATCTTCTGTTTACAGCCTTGAGCCAGTCGTAGACATTCCACATTCCTTTGGCAGAAGCCAGTCTACCCAGAGGACAACCACTGTGTACTTCCCCACAAGATGGTACTAGTTTTAATGACCCGGAAGGGTGATGGGCTGAGTCAACCCCCAACCAGGATCCGATTGCGAGCTTCTCGCTCAACCGTTGAGGCTCCTGTCCAGGGTTTATTGGAGTGCTCCGCTGTTGTGTTTCAACGATTGTAAATTGGCAAAATCCTAAACCCTGGGCCAGTGTTCTTCAAAACAAGGCCCGCAGGCCACTGGCGGCGCCTGGTGGCCTTTAGTGCAGCCCCTGACGTGCGGGCTCACCCGACAATACACAAATGTGAAAACACTCCTTGCTGGCGGTATGGCGGCCCACACACTGATGATGTCTCGGTGAAAGTGTCTCCCCCCCCCCTTCAAATTTTGTGAAGAACACGGCGCCTGCGTTAATGCACCCTGCGTTAATCCAGCCCTTCGTGTCGCCTACGGAATGAGAGCATCTGATGGGAGGAAGGGGGAGGCTGTGCGTGACGAGTTGAACGTGTCTGCACCGCAGACGGGGCTGCTGGTGGGGCTGCACACGTGCGGAGACCTGGCGGCCACCACGTTGCGGCTGTTCTCCGGGAGAGCGGAGCTGCGCGGCGTGTGCAGCGTGGGCTGCTGCTACCACCTGCTGTCCGAGCCACCTCAGCTGCACAGCTCCCCGGCAGCAGGTACGGCCGGGTCCTCCCCCCCTTGGCATCTGTCTCACTTGTACGTGTGCACCAAGATTCCCGCGATGTTACCATTTCGCGATGATATGTAAATTTTTCACGATGTGGCAATCGTCACGATATCCTTTTTCCCCGTAACTTTTAGAATTTTTTTTTCACGAATGTATTGGAGAGTTTTTATGCTTTGCTGTACTTCCAGAACAATTAAGTAGCTCAAGCAATGTCTTCATATATCTGTCTCTACACGTAATATTAAAGTCTTTCAAACACAACCCATCAGCCACACAGCGAGTGCATCATTTTATCAGGATTGATGCGGTACAAGCAAAAACCCTGGACTGGTTTCGACATAGAGTGTCTCATCAGCAGAGTCAGACTCGTTTGAATCGATGCTGGTAAATTGCCAGATGTTATAGGCAATGACACTCTCCTTGGGATATGGGTTCTAGTTTGATCCAAGCTTGATTGCTGATGAGATAATGATTTTTTTGTGTTCAATATAAATATTGTTTACTTTAAAGTCCTTCAGCTGCAGTTCACATAAGCCTGCCTACATGAGTGGCAATCCTTTCAGTACCATTTTGTATAATTTGCAGTTGTATAGCAGTGGCACGTGTATTACAGCTCCAAGCATCACCACAAGATCACTGGGATGGAGAATATTTTAAAAGTAACAGACTAGCTTCTTCGGAAAAATTAAGCCATCCTTCAGTGTTACCCTTGCGAGACAGAAATTAAGCAATTACTTGCTGTTCCGATTGCATTACTACCTAACATCGATATCGTGGTTCAGTATCATTTCTACAGCTAACTCAGAACTAACAAACGAAATGGGCACCGCTCCCCACTCTCATTTTACCACAGAGACACATTGACTTGAAAAAAATCGATGCACTTCATTACATTGGTGTGCTTGGTATGCAGAGACCGAAGCTTCAAAGTAACTTCATCACAGCATTAGATTTGTAAAGTATTTTTTGTTGCCATCTCATTATCCCAACATTGTATCCTTATTAATGTCTTGTTACGTGCGATGCAGACGATGAATCGCAGGCATATGGGTTTCCCATGAGTGACCATCTCAAGTCGCTTCACTGCACAATTGGAAGGAACGCGCGCATGTCTGCCTGCCTGGTAAGGGAGGCACGGTGTTTATTGCATACAGTACGATGTGGGTTGACCCACACCCCTTAGGAGCAAAGTGCAATGTGTGCATATGGCTCCAGGTAGTGTGCTTGTATCAGTAGTTACCATTCATCTCCCACCCCCCACCTGCGTAACATAAGCATGTGTTGCTTATACCCGAACTGGGCCGGTTATGAAGTTTGCTTATAACCAGCTTCCACTGTATTGTGATGTTGGATCTGAAGCATTCAATAAAACCGCGTTCAGCGAGGTTTTCCTGTAGCACAGATGGCCAGGCCTTCTGTGGTTCGTGGGTCAGTCCTATTGAGTAGGTGTCTAGCTGAGTTCACTATTCTCATTCTGGTCGGACAAAGGTGTGTCTTAAGTCACGTGTTTGTTTGCATTGTCCAGTTTGCATCAGATACTGATACAATAAACTTGTGCTCAGAATGTACATCAGCTCTACAACACTGGCTGATGTTAACCAACCTACAACTCAACCCCTCAAATTCCAAGACCATGGTTCCTTGCAAATCGTCAGAAGTTATAACGCCTGAACGTGCCAGTTTGCATCATCGTGGAGGGCAGTTCCTCATGTTAAGTTTAATTTTCTTAGTGTCATCCGTGCATCGATGTAACCTTTTTGCTAAATATAGCATATTATATGTCTTGGATTGATTCTTTGATTGGTTTAGATAAGGGTTGGTTATCTGGATGTACTGTATACATTTGAAAAGTAGCAAATTCAAATCCTGATTGGTTGCCAACCCAACCCCATCATCCCTGTCAGTGCAGTAAAATAAGTATCACTTTGTGTGATGTTAACTGTAGTTGTCCTTTGAAGAGAGTGGCCCCCAACCGTACAAATGGTGGAATTTCCACCTCTGGCTTGTGGCTGTTAACGTAGTTAAGCACGCCCCCGCGCTCGTGTAGCGTGGAGACGATTCCACTTTTGTCTCATACGAATTGCAACCTCGCTCGAGAGTTGAACACAAACGTGTTTGTCCTAAACTGTGCACCAATGCGCAATAAGTGACAACTATTTATAGGAAGAATGACGGCAATACTTCCATTGAACACTTTCTAGGTAAGTTTTATTTACGTCATGTGGTGTAATTAAACAATTCTGCTGATTCAGAGGCTTGGCAGTAATTTCTGCCATTTTGTATGTGTTTTCCCTGCGTATTATCACGCTGGTGCATTGGACACAATGCCCCATGCGTCATACATGATGCCTGAGCGGCGCTGATATGGCTTCTGTAAATGCTGTGTAGCAGTTAATCAGGACACTGACTGCGCAAGGAGAGTTAGTGGAAGCAAAATATCCACAAAAGTGGATTGCCAAATCTAAATGTGTGCATGTGCCTCGAGATATATAACTATGCCTAACCCAATGACAGAGATGACTATTGTTACCCCTGTAGAATATAGGAACAAGTGCTATCATTGAGGTTATGTTAAAGCAGACATAAAACATAATGGGGTGGTATGACCAGCACCATGCTTGCTCTGGGGGATGGTGTGACCAGCACTACGTTTACAAAGAAGGTTCTTGTTTATAACATGGGGCAGTTTACCAGCATTGAATCGAGAAAGCCTGACTCAGCTGACGAGACGCTTGTGTGTCAATACTGATCCAGAGCTTGCACGTACTGAATCAATACTGTTGGTGCTATGCAATGGATAGACAACGGCAGCAGATGTGCATCGATTAATTATCAGGTACTCACTTTGTTCCGAGTTAAACGAGGTCAATCTAAGGATGACATCCAGACGCTATTTCTTGCCGATGTTGTGCCTAAACAAAAGTTGACTCGGGTCCTCGGGACTGTAGGGCAGCGGGCTGACCACCAGAAAGTGATCTTCCAGAGCTACTAAATGAATTCTGCTATACCGATAGCATGTACATGAAGGGTGACCTGAAAGCACTCACAAATGAATGGTATTATTTGTGTTTGTTCACACTTCACCACATTGGTAAATGAGGTAATTTTCACAGATAAACATGATGAATAGGATCTGCCCCTACATAAAATCGGATAACACAGCGATCACTGTACTCTTATCTTCATTTTAACTGCAATTGTCTCGAACGTTTCCGGTTTCCATGGTCATCATTGTGAATGTTGTGGTTTTGTTTTCAGGCACCCGAACGAGTTACTTCTGGAAAGGGGGTACGATTTAATGTCTTTCTATTTGAGCTTTTATGAATACTGAATTAAGTAGAGGTTACGTTTCGTATAAATGATCACATCCGTCAAAGCTAGCCGACTGCTAATTGTGGTAATTGTCTAAACACTGGTATGCGAAAGCACTCACCCCCATGTGCTCAAGGGAAAGCTGATTCAAATTTGCTCTTCGGTGCTCCTGCACTGCACTATTTGTTATAACCACGGTTGGGGGACAACTCAGCACATCACCCCTCCAAGGTCAATGAAATGAGTTTAACTTTGTGGGTAGTTTACAGTGGTTGTCTTATGGAGAGAATTAATCCTATTATATGAATGTGAGGTTTTCACCACTGACACATGGCTACCAATAGAAATGAGAGCCACCCCATGTGCATTTGAATGTGGGAGCAATTTGACTTGTCTTTTGACAGGAACCGAATGACAGAGTGTAACAATGCAAAGTGACAGTGGCATCTTCCCCAACATCATTTGATACAGTTGAGTTTTATTTATGGGAGTATCTACAAAGGCCGTATTTTTGTAATTCATTCAAACATTCTGATTATGAGTTAGGATACATTTCTAGTGATAATCAATCATACTTTCCATTCAGTGGTTTGATGTATGGAATAGTGTATAATTGGTAGGGCATATAAATTAGATGCAATGCACATGATATTGTACAATCCAAAGTGACAGTGCAACATATGTAAATGATCTGCAGCAAACATTCACGTCAGCATTATTGGATGTGACAGTTGCGTTGAGTGTAACTTTATCACCTCTTAAATTGAATGTAAAATGATAGATGATAGTTTACAGCAATCTTGTCAGTGGAAAATTAAATGGTTTGTTCCAACTTTGCAAATTTCAAATTAACATCGCATTAGGAGAGAATACAGACCATCAGATAGTTATTGAAGATGCAAATGCACATTTGATCGCAGTGTCACGATGTACTGCTGAATCCAACATTCAGTTTCTGTTCAATCTGCACATTAGTCTTTCATTGCACATAGCAAAATGACTCCAGCAGTTAATGCTTAGAAACCTGTTGTTAAATTCCTTTACGTGACCAATACGTGATTGTAACTGGCATTGAAAGCAGCTGTCAGCACACCTAAGTATTTCATTATAAAAGCCAGATGAGGCTATGTGGGCAACTTATGCACTTTAACCACTTTTGCTAGACCATGTTAAGATGTTTGCAATTAATTATGTGCATGCTATTTGCAAACTTTAATGGGGAATAAAACCCTACATTTTGCTATTTTGTCCAGCTTATTACAGAATGTAATTCAGTATTTATTGTAATAAAATGTGTTCAGTTCCATTTTATTTGGTGACGTGGGTGAGTAACATTTAGCGAAAGACTGCTTTGCAAGAGAGACCTGCGGAGTACTGTATTAGAGATAGCACGGCGTAAGCATACAGAACCACAGTGATTCAAAATACGGAACAACAATAGTTAGTCATGATAAAGTTTTTTCATTTAGGTTAGATCGCGTAAATGTTAAAAAAACTTTAATATAAATAATATTGGTCGTGAAAGCCTACATGTTAAACAAAAATAAAAAATACAGAACAACAATAATTTAAAAAATTCAACATTCAAAGGTATACAATTGAGGGCATCACTTTACAGGACATGAGGAACAGCAATGAAACAAATCTAAGAATAAAAATATTGAGTTAGGCAGAGCATGCAAAGCACGTGCGCGTAAGTGGGTATTCTAAATAAAGTAAGAAGCGTTAATAGTCTGAGGGGCGCACTTATTCTTGTCGGCAGTAAATTGCTCGATTGTGTGAAAATAACATACAGCAATTGCAGTCTCAAGAAGTTAACAGTATATGATAAAAGAGGAAAAGACAAATACAGTTTAGTGTTGTGCGTTATTGTTAAACTAATTTATTGTTCCTTTTTTGGCAGTTGCTCACTGAGTCACTGTTCTATCGAGCAGTGCTGCAGGTGCTCGTTGAAGACCATTATGGAAGCCTCAGCAGGTAGAATTATCACTGCTCACAACAGTGCGTGCTCAGCTCCCACGACCAAACTACAAGACGGTCAACACATCGCGCGCTTTCAATTGCACTTCTTCGGCCGTTTGGAATGCTCTTTCTTCCGATATTAGGAAGTTTATATTTAAACTCATTTCTCTTGGTCTGTTTGTTGTGTTTCGTTTATTGTCTTTCCCCTGTACCTCCGATTAGCATGGTTGGCTACGAACGGTGCGAAAGAAGTTCACCATAAATACATCGTGATTTGCTTAGAAAGCACGAGTTGAAAATGTGGTTAGGTGGTTTATAGGGATAATTCCAATATCAGAGTATGTAGCCGGCACTTTTGAGATCCTGGCCTTGAACAGACATAGTATATTACATATGTGATGCACTTTTAGTAATGTGGTTTGAAAATATAAAATGTGTTATGTGCATCATCCACCAAAATTGGTTTACGTTAATGAACATCCGAGTCATGGCTTATTGGTACACTTACTGAGGTTTTATGTTCTTTACACGTGTTGTTGGGAGTCAATTTTTGAGAAATTGGATGAAACGTTCAAACGTGTTGGTCATCGCTGATCCCTCTAGCACCAAGCGTGTGGGCAAGACGTACGCAAAGTCCACCTCATTCCTGGACTACACCCGAAAGGCGCTGCAGAAGTTGGAATTGGATGACTCAAAGGTTGGTCAATGTGCATCACTCACATTTAAGAATCGGTGCGGATTTAATGGTTAGCACACTTGCACTGGACATTTCATATCCCCAGTACGGCGGTTGAAAGTGTGGGCAAGCTTTTTAAATCCACCTGCCTCTGTTCTCCCAGCAGTACACGTGGTTACACCAGTTGCTTGGCAGGTCATGTGTAATGGGGTAAAGTGTGGGTACTCCCATCTCTTTAAATATGTCTGCTCAGTGTGGAAGAGGTGGACAAATACCATCTAGGTTTTTCTAGAGCAGTGGTTCTTAAACTTTTTCTGCTACTGTACCCCTATTTGAAATTTGTTTCAACCAAATATACCCCCTTGCCTGACCCAACATGGTTGTGAGAAATCAATGTATGAATAACGAACATCAATATTTTAACCAATTGCCAATTTTGTGAAGTATCCTAACAAGCAAGCAAATTAAAAAAAGTTAACGGACGCTCTGTGACGCGTAATGTAATTTGTTCTCGCTCGCTGGTTACTCTTGGAAACCACATTGTTTATGATCAATGAGTTTAGAAAGGTATTTTATATCGTTATCGGTTACCATGTGGATTTCAACTTTTTTATGTTATTTTATATTGGCAGATCCATAGCATATTCATACTCTATTCACCAATGTCTCGTGTATGATATTTATTTCACACATTCATAAATCAACTCGTGTACAAACCTGGGACATTTCCACGTGTACCCCCAGCGGTTCGTTGACCCCGGTTTGAGAACCACTGCTCTTGAGCTTCCTCTAGTGGTGGCACTTTGGCCAGCAGTGGCATGAGCAAGTAAGTGCAGGGGGCTGCACCTTGCCCCGATATGATAAGCATCTGAAAGAATTGTCCTCAGAAATGTTCTACTTATGCCATATAACAGCTCGTGCACTGCCTTTCTCAAAGGTATTCCTAAGTCTGAAATGTGTCAATCATGTGTGTGTGTGCTTGTCTTGCTTTGTACAATATAACAATGTGACTTTGCCTGTTATCGTATTCTCAGTTGAGTGATGCTGACATTCAAGATTACTACAGCAAATTCCTCCCTCGCTTGCCAGAGATGGAAGCCTTTAACATGGTACGGTGACACACCCTGTCTGTCGGGCCACACTTCACAGTTGAAATTTCGATTTACAGCTTTCGTGACTGCAGGGATTCATATTCTTGGTTCTTTTGGTAAAGTCACGTAGAAGGGAAATAATAAAATAATAAAATTAAAACAACTTTTTTTATTATTATTTTAATAATGAAAATAACAATTGCTTTATTTTTATTATATAAAACAATTGTTTTATTTTTATCATTATTTCATTTTTTCCCTTCTATTATTTCCCTTCTACGTGACTTTACCGAAAGAACCAAGAATATACTTCATAGTTTGGTCACATTCGTAAAACACGTGGACTTGGAACTGCTTCTTCCTGTACGATTGTGCACTGATTTATGTGCATTTTCTCTCTCTCCTCTGTGAACAGCTCAAGGTGATCCTTGCTCCTTGCATTGAGGGCATCATCCTAATGGACAGACTGTGCTTTCTCTTGGAACAGGTACAGGACTGAACCTAAAGTAATGTTAGTTTGAGTTAATAACAGCATACATTGGAAAGCAATCACTACCGTTTATTTTATTTTGCATTTGTTAAACCATAACCACAATGTTCTGTTTTCTAAATGCCTTGGCCACTCTACATTGTATGAACGTGCACCTAGCTTGGCACAGGCAGAGTATTTAATACTACCATCTTGTGCTAAAAGGTGGTTATCAATATATATATATGTCTTCTTGGTGGTGGTAAAGGCTATAACCTAATTGCTCAGAATGTGCCCGACCTCACCAGACCTTGGAGGCTAAGCAGGTTTGAACCTGGATAGTGCTGGAAGGGCAAGCATAGAACACAACCGTAAGGCAATAGGTGTTGTGGGCAGTACGGCTACTCCTCCCCCCACCTTCACCAACCGGCACTAACCAGCATGGTGAAGTACGGTCAAATAACCCTCACTGCCTGGACCGATTGGTGGAGGTTCTTGTCCAGATGTGACATGACAAATGGGCTGTACATGGTGTACATGGTGCTAAGACTATACTACTGTTTACAGCACAAGTGCCATGGATTCAATGCGTACCATTAAAAATTACATATCTGTCTTGCACAGTCCTCGATGAGGTTTACTAAACCTCACATTGGTATCTGAAGAAGTTATATCAACACCTGCACTGGGGATTTAAGGGCTACATGTTGTCTTCTGCAGCAGCTGCGTACCTTAAGAGCACCTGCCCCATCATTCTAAAAGTCAGCCGCATGTGTATTGTGTGTGTTACGTGGCTAATTGGAACAGTGGGCTAATAATGCCCTTGTCAGGGCCCTTGTCAGGGCATTATTAGACCACAGACATCTTTGGCTTGGATTCATTTTAGCCACCTACGATTTCGACCAGAAGCACGCTGGTATTTTCAGCCCTGTCGGCAAGTGCACAAATGTGTGAATGTTTTGTCTCGTTCAGTTATAACAGCTGTAATCTGCAAACATTATGCATACTCTGCCCATCAGGAGCAGAGAAAGGACCCAGATTCGTATTGCAGAGCATCATGGTTCAATTCTAATGGCCACCCTGGTTATTACTGCGGGTGTTGTTAACCATTAAAAATAAGCCGTCTGCTTCACAGTGGATGTTACAGTTCCCGTTACAAGTGTGGTAATAATGATAGCATTATTCATATTTTTTTGTGGTAATAAAATTAGCACCACCTTGTGTAATATCAATTGTAGGTTGCCAATTGATAAACCAGCCTGCCATAGGAATGTGGTATGTCCACCTCTGGTTCAGGCCTGTTAATGGAGATGAGCACTGCTCCATGCTTTTTGAGCCTCGGAGATTAATTAATTTTTTAACTTTTGTGCGATATTGTTGACATGCAACCAGCCACTCGAGAAAAACTTGAATGCACCGTTCAGTGGTGAAGAATGACACGTGAAGTAGTCGCAGGAGGAAATTCAAACGGCCACATACATTGCGGAAAACATAAATAGACAACTTACAGAAGAGTAAATGAATAACATTAAGAAGCTGACGCTATATTTATATCTGTGCAGCTTTGTTATATGTTGCCATGAGCTGTTGCGATACGAGAAAAGTGCAATGTGTACGTGGAATCCTTTTTTTATCTGCTCGTGCGTTTGCAGGATTGTGTGAGCCAAGCAGCCCTAGTGCAGATGTTCCATCCGCTGACATCACCTCGCTGCTATGCACTCGTGGCTACCAGGCGGTGATATGACCTGTCCTTGGATCGATGGCAGTGGGCGACCAATGCCCTCACAGCAATATTTATAGTGAATGCATCAGCATATCGTAATGGACAAGCTACAACCTTGTTTTTATACATATTTATTTTATACACTTTTGTCTGGAACAAGTGCTTTTACTCATGGGTTACCGCAGTGAAACTAATGTAATCGCTGTGTATAATGACCATCTTGTATGTTTATTTGTACAATTCTAAAGTTGTATGGTATTGCTTCGGAATTATTATTTTTAACATTTGAGGCACCAGGCTTGATGGAAGAAACCTATGTAAAGTATTTTATAGTAATATTGTAAAATAAATATTTTATATCTATAGCTACGTCTAAATATTTTATATTGTGTACATGTTTTGCACTCATACAACATACTAAGTGGTTTAGTACGTGTATGCTAAGGGAAGTATATAGGGGCAATTGCTCAACATTTAGCCCAGAAAACAGCAGCACTGGGGAGACAAAGGCAGCCAAACATGGTGCTGGTCTCCCACCCCATAAAATATCAATTGGCGCTTGCCTTGTGGCGGTTACTGTGACATGCACTGTCAATTAAAATATTCACACTTACAAACCAAAGTTTTGGTTCTAGATTTGAATCTTTCTTGACTGCAAGGATTCATACTCTTTGTTTTAAATCACGACGTTTCGGGCGCAACACAAGCGTCCGTCATCAGGTGGCGGATGCTTGTGTTGCGCCCGAAACGTGATTTAATTTTGTTGTTTTCATTTCTTTAATTTTTACCTACGTGACTTTACCGACAAAACCAGAGTATAAAAAGTTCTGGTACCCACTATTGGTCAGCAGGTGTCACCAAAGATCTGCAGTCTGGTTTGTTTTAACACTAAACAGTGTTGACTGACTTTTCACGCAAATATTATTTCATGTTTACTGAACATTGCTTTTTTTGCTTTGCTTTGTGCAGAACATTTCACCCCATAGTGTCAGTGTAGTTTCAGTGATGTAAAATTGTGATTCAGTTTATGTATACATGCATTACATTCATGACAATATTACGTCCGTCTATCGTACCTGCAACTGTGTAAAGATTTCACATTGTTCCAGTTGCCTTTATCACTAATTCATACGAGTGATTGCTTTATTAAAGTATTCCTAATCTCTTAAATCAATCATGGTGTGAGAACAATTTGTAATTGTACTTCTAATATAGGATAGTTTTGGTTGCATGCTGGTTTTCAAAATTGTTAATTTATTGCACTGGCAAAAACTTCTCTTGCTCTTGCGATCAGTGTAAAAGGATGTTAACATCGACTGCAAATAACAAGACCTCTTGGTCATTACATAGAATACACGGGGCACTTTGTTTTATGTATTTTTGTTACCAAACATAGAATTTTATTAGACGAATATGCATGTAATGTCCCTGCCTCCTGTCGGCTGAAATCTCTCAGGAACAAATCGTCCAGGATAAGAGAAAAGTTTGTACTATGTTTTAAATGAATTTTCAGAGAATAGAAATGAAGTTCTCAGAAGCCATTTTCTCTATGAATCAAAGATTGCCTGCAATGTGCTCCCAATCAAAGAGAATAATGCCTCAATTCCTGCTCCCTGGGTTGTCGCTCTGACCTCTGCTCAAGTATACTCTGTGATTGGTTCCACATAACTCTTGGCGCCAGAGTCTTGCCTTCATGTACCACACTGTGCTGTGTCTACAAGGCTCCATGTGTCGTGTC